AAATTAATGTTCACTAAACATAAGTTTATACTGCATGAACATGAACTAAAGTTTACCTGTGCAGAAAAAAACGTTCCACACTAAGTTTATACTACAGAACACTTTGAAAAAACACCACAAAACTACATGGTGTGTAAAAACTGGTGAGTAAATATTTCAGCAATTATAAGAGTGAGGTATTCACCACATAATGGTGGTTTCAACAATTTCTGTCTGATTCTATCTCCATGAACACATAAGGTTATGAGAGGGTGCAGAAAATCTGACTCATAATTTAGCAGACTTAACTGCATATGGCAAAAGTAATAGCTTCTGTCGTTTTTTTTTTTTTTATTTGCCTGATATTTTGTTGATTCTGCATGTAGCTGTGTTGTGCCTTTTTAGAGCAGAGCCATATTTTCATCCTTTAGCTGAAACACTTCTTCAACTGTTTGTCGTACAGGTCAGCCTTCCCAATTAGTCGCATGGAACACTTCAAGGTCTCACTGTTGCCTTGTCATCTTATCTACGTGTAGTGGTCCCACAACAGGCTTATCCAGAACAGCGACATGAATTCTGATCAGCCCTCAATGTTAGGCAGCTAGAGAACATGGGCCTTCCCCACCATCCAATGAGCATTCTATGAAAGCATAGCCGCCTTTTGATGCTCTAGTACTGGGCTGGGACACTTGTACTCAAAGAATTGCCACATCCTGCATTTTGCCTGCCTCTCTCTCCTCTCTCGCTCTCTAATATATACTCTCTCTTATATAATCTCTCTCTCTTATATACTCTCTCTCTCTTATATACTCTCTCGCTCTCTAATATATACTCTCTCTCTCTCTCTCTTATAAACTCTCTTTCTCTTATATACTCTCTCTCTCTTATATACACTCTCTCTGTCTCTTATATACTCTCTTTCTCTTATATACTCTCTCTCTCTCTTATATACACTCTCTCTCTTTCTTATATACTCTCTTTCTCTTATATACTCTCTCTCTCTCTCTTATATACACTCTCTCTGTCTCTTATATACACTCTCTCTGTCTCTTATATACACTCTCTCATAATTCTTTACAAGCTCTTTCAGAAACCCACAGCCGACAGTTCACAGATGTGGTCCTGTTATGACCACCACACAATTACCAATTCAATTCCTCAACATATTGGACTTTTCACCAAGTAGTTGTGACTGTCCAGCAACATTACATCAGATGACCTCAAGGATGTTATTTACAACACTGATGCCTTTGAGTATTTAGTGAGGCAGAATCTGAACGGACATGATCATTTTACTTATCAGAAGTTTCCTATAGGCAACATTTAATAAATATCTCAATTCTCTAGCAATGATCTGAGAATGTAAACAAAAAATCAGCAGTGGTTTTTAACAAATGTTATCTAAGTCTACACCACAGGACATGCAAGAATATTAAACAAAAATTCATGATCAACAACAACAAAAAAAAAACATTATATAATATAATATGTTAATGATGCAGAAATACAGAAATTCAAATATAGTAGATGGGATTTGTATCACAGAGATAAAGAACAGTAAAGGTAAAATAAAAGCTGAATTATAACAAGTGATGAAAATCAAGACCAAAAATTTTTTTGCATGCTAAATAGAAACAATTTTAACACATAGCTGGGAATTCTAAACAATCAGTTTAAACACTCACACACAAATTCTATTAGGACTCTGTGATGTGGTTTTACTGACAAATGATGCAAATTCCTTGTATAGTCAAATTTAGTAAAATAAATACATTGAAATAACCTAAGAAAACATTAAAACGTATCACAAACATCAGAAGGAGGCAGACATTATGTTTGCACCCTTATTACAATAAAAGAAATCTTGAAACACAATCTTTAAACTGGAGATGTAGAGAAAGACAAGAAATGAACATTCTTGACAACTTTTAGTTCTACACAGAAAGGTGTCAGTGTGTGAAGTGATATATGCTGATGCAGATGGCAAGTTTTGACGAACGATTGCTCACGTCAGCTGGCAAGGCACTTGATGATGATGACAATCAAAATAATGGTCAATGAAGTGACGACTATTGCACTGTCAAATATCAATAAGCTAAATAATACATAATTAAAATCTTGATTACAAAAAATGTGACTGTTCCATTATATAAGGATAGGAAAAGGCGACTACTCGTTTACTTACACTTTTTTTACAAGTCATTGTCAATTTAATGAGAACATTAACACTGTTGTACAGCTCAATTAGTCATAATTCAAAGTGTGATGTGTTCTTTGGTACTGAAAGAGTTGACCCTCTCAGCCTGAGAAGGCAATTTTTCCAGTCATTACTGGTTTTGATTGACAGGAAGTCTCTAAGCAGCAAATACTTTGTCTATATTACAGCTCTGGTACTGGCTACAACTGCATAATGTCTACAAATGGTGGGTATGATGACTGTATATGCCCAACAAAATGTAAGATATTATTTTGGGTGAAACTTTATCATGTTTGAAAACTGTGATGTTAATAATGACATAATAATAATTAATCTTTTTGTGGGACGGGCTAAGTCAGGAAAACCTCGGTTATTATGGTCAAAGCAGAGGAAAGCAGTTATTTCTTTGCTCCATATTGATTTTGTTTTTAGTTTTGTTTAATTTACGTATGTGCTGATGAAGGCTCTATAGCCACAACATTTACGTTTCCTTTGTGTCTGTTATACTATGAAGCTCGCTGATACTGTCTGATCTATTTTCGTTCACTTTTATATCTTTCCAAATTGATTTAGTATTACCTACCTTAACTTTTAAAAAATTCATTTTCTGGTATTTGTGAAGTATAAAGATTGAAAAAAAAAAAAAAAAATACAAATCAATATTTTTAGCTATCCAATGAATGGATCAGTGGCCTCATGTATCCCCGCCTGCTCAGTTACCTAGAGGTCTGACCAACTGGACTTTTAAAAAAACTGACCAAGACTCCAAGTTTATTCTGCTTTTTCTCTTGCTCTATTTAAGAGTTTAGAGTTTTAGAGAATTAAAACGATACATTTAAAAAAAATAATTTAACCATGACAAAGATCACCAACTAAGATTATCAAAGGGCAAAAGGATGTCGATTCCGGAAATATTTTAAAATAGACCCTCCCGTCTTTTGTTAAAGCTGATGTAGGCCTAGAGCAACAAGGCATCTAAGAAGACGCACTGATGACTTAAAGACGTACGCTTACTCAAAATGACAACAGCCAGTGCCACCTATCCAGGACCACCAAATGTCACTATGCCTAATAATAACAGAGAAAAATGATGAATGCCCTATGTAAATATATATTTACAAATGAAAGAATGAACTCTAGGCATACTACATGGTGTTTAGGCTGCTAGGTTCATTGTTTTACCTGCGCGTTGAGGTCAATAAGAGAAAAACTCCACCACATATGGGATTGAAACATACGAACATACGGCTGGTAGGCAATATCCTAGCCACCAAAGTTTCCTCCGCTTTTGTGTGCCATTTCCACAACGAATGTTGGCCACTTTTGACTTTGGAAATATTATGTGGTAAAGATCTCATCTCTATGGTAAAGATCCCATCTCTATGGTAAAAACTCAATCACTATTATAAAGACCCTATCTCTATGTTAAAGACCTAGTCTCTATGTTAAAGACCCCTATCTCTATGTTAAAGACCTAGTCTCTATGTTAAAGACCTAGTCTCTATGTTAAAGACCTAGTCTCTATGTTAAAGACCTAGTCTCTATGTTAAAGACCTAGTCTCTATGTTAAAAACCTAGTCTCTATGTTAAAGACCTAGTCTCTATGTTAAAGACCCCTATCTCTATGTTAAAGACCTAGTCTCTATGTTTAAGACCCCTATCTCTATGTTAAAGACCTAGTCTCTATGTTAAAGACCTAGTCTCTATGTTAAAGACCTAGTCTCTATGTTAAAGACCCCTATCTCTATGTTAAAGACCTAGTCTCTATGTTTTAAGACCCCTATCTCTATGTTAAAGACCTAGTCTCTATGTTAAAGACCTAGTCTCTATGTTAAAGACCTAGTCTCTATGTTAAAGACCCCTATCTCTATGTTAAAGACCTAGTCTCTATGTTTAAGACCCCTATCTCTATGTTAAAGACCTAGTCTCTATGTTAAAGACCTAGTCTCTATGTTAAAGACCTAGTCTCTATGTTTAAGACCCCTATCTCTACAGTAAAGACCCTCACCTCTATGGTAAAGACCCCATCTCTATGGTAAAAAAACCTCATCTCTACAGTAAAGACCTGATCTCTATGGTAAAGACCCTATCTCTACAGTAAAGACCTGATCTCTATGGTAAAGACCCCATCTCTATGGTAAAAAACCTCATCTCTACAGTAAAGACCCGATCTCTATGGTAAAGACCCATCTCTATGGTAAAGACCCATCTCTATGGTAAAGACCCCATCTCTATGGTAAAAAAAACCCATCTCTACAGTAAAGACCCCATCTCTATGGTAAAGACCCATCTCTATGGTAAAGACCCTATCTCTATGCTAAAGACCCCATCTCTATGGTAAAGACCCCATCTCTATGGTAAAGACCCCATCTCTACAGTAAAAACCCCATCTCTATGGTAGAGACCCTATTTCTATGATAGAGACCCCATCTCTATGGTAAAGACCTCATCTCTACAGTAAAGACCCCATCTCTATGGTAAAAAAAACCTCACCTCTACAATTAAAGACCCCGCATCTCTACAGTAAAGACCCAAATCTTTAGGGTAAAGACCCTACTTCTATCATGGTACTATTGTCCAAAAACAACTGTCCTCTGAAGTAGCTGAACCCTGAAGCCTGGTATGTGGGGATCATGAAATTATGAAACACTCTGACCAACCTCTGAGCCACAGAGACACACCATGTTTAATAAACAAACAAATAAAGGTACAAATAGATTCATTCATCTGATTTTTCAAAAACCAATTACTTATACAGAAATGGAGAAAACATCTTTTAGAAAACTGACTTCCCAGCAAATTATATATATACAGGATTCCATAGTCATAGATCCCTGTGTAATGTCTTTTTGTAATTCAGAATTAGCAACTCAAATTAGACAGATATCAATGTTATCTTTAAAGCAACCCAAATAGAAAGTGAGAAAATATCTTTAAAAAAATAAACATAATCCCAAAAACTTCACAGGAAATTACTAGCAGACTATTCTCATTTGCTGTCACAGTTCCTTGTTTGCTGTCACAGTTCCTTGTTTGCTGTCACAGTTCCTTGTTTGCTGTCACAGTTCCTCGTCTGCTGTCACAGTTCCTTGTTTGCTGTCACAGTTCCTTGTTTGCTGTCACAGTTCCTTGTTTGCTGTCACAGTTCCTTGTTTGCTGTCACAGTTCCTTGTTTGCTGTCACAGTTCCTTGTTTGCTGTCACAGTTCCTTGTTTGCTGTCACAGTTCCTTGTTTGCTGTCACAGTTCCTTGTTTGCTGTCACAGTTCCTTGTTTGCTGTCACAGTTCCTTGTTTGCTGTCACAGTTCCTTGTTTGCTGTCACAGTTCCTCGTCTGCTGTCACAGTTCCTTGTTTGCTGTCACAGTTCCTTGTTTGCTGTCACAGTTCCTTGTTTGCTGTCACAGTTCCTTGTTTGCTGTCACAGTTCCTTGTTTGCTGTCACAGTTCCTTGTTTGCTGTCACAGTTCCTTGTTTGCTGTCACAGTTCCTTGTTTGCTGTCACAGTTCCTTGTTTGCTGTCACAGTTCCTTGTTTGCTGTCACAGTTCCTTGTTTGCTGTCACAGTTCCTTGTTTGCTGTCACAGTTCCTCATCTGATGTCACAGTCCTTGTTTGCTGTCACAGTTCCTTGTTTGCTGTCACAGTTCCTTGTTTGCTGTCACAGTTCCTTGTTTGCTGTCACAGTTCCTTGTTTGCTGTCACAGTTCCTTGTTTGCTGTCACAGTTCCTTGTTTGCTGTCACAGTTCCTTGTTTGCTGTCACAGTTCCTTGTTTGCTGTCACAGTTCCTTGTTTGCTGTCACAGTTCCTCATCTGATGTCACAGTTCCTTGTTTGCTGTCACAGTTCCTCATCTGATGTCACAGTTCCTTGTTTGCTGTCACAGTTCCTTGTTTGCTGTCACAGTTCCTTGTTTGCTGTCACAGTTCCTTGTTTGCTGTCACAGTTCCTTGTTTGCTGTCACAGTTCCTTGTTTGCTGTCACAGTTCCTCATCTGATGTCACAGTTCCTTGTTTGCTGTCACAGTTCCTTGTTTGCTGTCACAGTTCCTTGTTTGCTGTCACAGTTCCTTGTTTGCTGTCACAGTTCCTTGTTTGCTGTCACAGTTCCTTGTTTGCTGTCACAGTTCCTTGTTTGCTGTCACAGTTCCTTGTTTGCTGTCACAGTTCCTTGTTTGCTGTCACAGTTCCTTGTTTGCTGTCACAGTTCCTTGTTTGCTGTCACAGTTCCTTGTTTGCTGTCACAGTTCCTTGTTTGCTGTCACAGTTCCTTGTTTGCTGTCACAGTTCCTTGTTTGCTGTCACAGTTCCTTGTTTGCTGTCACAGTTCCTTGTTTGCTGTCACAGTTCCTTGTTTGCTGTCACAGTTCCTTGTTTGCTGTCACAGTTCCTTGTTTGCTGTCACAGTTCCTTGTTTGCTGTCACAGTTCCTTGTTTGCTGTCACAGTTCCTTGTTTGCTGTCACAGTTCCTTGTTTGCTGTCACAGTTCCTTGTTTGCTGTCACAGTTCCTTGTTTGCTGTCACAGTTCCTTGTTTGCTGTCACAGTTCCTTGTTTGCTGTCACAGTTCCTTGTTTGCTGTCACAGTTCCTTGTTTGCTGTCACAGTTCCTTGTTTGCTGTCACAGTTCCTTGTTTGCTGTCACAGTTCCTTGTTTGCTGTCACAGTTCCTTGTTTGCTGTCACAGTTCCTTGTTTGCTGTCACAGTTCCTTGTTTGCTGTCACAGTTCCTTGTTTGCTGTCACAGTTCCTTTTGCTGTCACAGTTCCTTGTTTGCTGTCACAGTTCCTTGTTTGCTGTCACAGTTCCTTGTTTGCTGTCACAGTTCCTTGTTTGCTGTCACAGTTCCTTGTTTGCTGTCACAGTTCCTTGTTTTGTTTGCTGTCACAGTTCCTTGTTTGCTGTCACAGTTCCTTGTTTGCTGTCACAGTTCCTTGTTTGCTGTCACAGTTCCTTGTTTGCTGTCACAGTTCCTCGTCTGCTGTCACAGTTCCTTGTTTGCTGTCACAGTTCCTTGTTTGCTGTCACAGTTCCTCGTCTGCTGTCACAGTTCCTTGTTTGCTGTCACAGTTCCTTGTTTGCTGTCACAGTTCCTCGTCTGCTGTCACAGTTCCTTGTCGGCTGTCACAGTTCCTCATCTGATGTCACAGTTCCCCGTGTGATGTTTTCTGTAACATATAAAAAAAGAAATGACAAGTCAAGCATGAAGAGATGAATCGGATAATGAGAACAAATTACTAAGGCAAACAAAATTGAGGAAACTTTAAAAAATATGATACATAATCGCGGGTTTGATGTATATATGTACTAACAATAATTTTAATGTATATATGTAGTAGTTAATATAGGTTTAATGTATATATGTAGTAGTTGATATAGGTTTAATGTATATATGTAGTAGTTGATATAGGTTTAATGTATATATGTAGCAGTTGATAATAGGTTTAATGTATATATGTAGTAGTTGATATAGCTTTAATGTATATTTGTAGTAGTTGATATAGGTTTAATGCATATATGTAGTAGTTGATATAGGTTTAATGTATATATGTAGTAGTTGATATATGTTTAATGTATATATGTAGTAGTTGATATAGGTTTAATGTATATATGGAGTAGTTTATATAGGTTTAATGTATATATATGTAGTAGTTAATATAGGTTTAATGTATATATGTAGTAGTTGATATAGGTTTAATGTGAATATGTAGTAGTTGATATAGGTTTAATGTACATATGTAGTAGTTGATATAGGTTTAATGTATATATGTAGTAGTTGATATGATTTGATTTGATTCAAGAACCGACATCACAGCACTCGGGGCATTCCCATAAGCGCTCCGTCCCCATCTTCAGCAGCCAGCGAAGAGTTCCAATACTAATGGTGCCAGTTGCTTTCTGATTAAACATCCGTCTTGCCTTTCCTCTGAGCCTTGAGCTTCTGCCAGAACCAACTGCATCAATCTCACTAAACTGTGGCGTTCCATCTGCTCCTCCGCATTGTACACGCTCTCCCACAAGGCACTAACCACGTCTGCCCTATCATGTAGCAGTATTCCACCAAGTTGTGCAGAGCCAGCCAGTCTGTCCACTTGTTCATTTCCCAACACACCGGCGTAACCTGGTGAAAAAATCCAGACAATACTCCTCACTCGTGTCCTCCGCAGCGAAGCATGCCACTCTGCATGAAGCATACCTGTTCTGATCTTCCTCAGCATGCTTTCTGAATCAGTTACAATTACAATGTGTGTGTGTGTCGTGTTCTCTAGCCAGCAGAAAACTGCAGTGACCGCCTCCACCTCCATCCTTAAGCTGGATGTTGTGGTATCATATGCTAGGCTCTCCTGCACCAAATGTCGACCATTAACTTTTGCTAAAAAGCCCCAAGCACTTCTTTTGCCTCTTGACACTGAACCGTCTGTGTAAATGATCAAATCCTCAGAGCGAGCATTATCTTGAATTAATTGATGAATTTCCACCTCTGTGGCACCTGCTGGCCAGTCTCTGCATTCCCGGGTCTGCGTGATTATGACTCTACACAAGTCTGACTGCTCAGGTGGCACTTTGACCCACTCCTCTCCTCGCCTAATGTTCTCGAGGATGCAAACCTGTCTGATTGTGTCTTTTGCCTGAGCCATCCATGACCTCCCTCTTATCAGCCGCTGACCCTTAACTGCACCCAGAGCTTCATGCAGAGGGTGGTCTGTGTCTGCAGCTACCCTGAGATATGACTTGGCCTGCATCACCTTGTGCCTACTTGCAACCGTCGGCAAACCAAGGATGTATCGCATACACACCACTGGGGTGTCTCTGGTGCAACCCAGAATGACCCGCATAGCCGCGTTCTGTATCGCTCTAGTTTGTCCATCTGACTCTTTGAGACGGTAAGCAGTCCCAGGCCATAATCCACCAGTGACAGGATCAGGTGCTGATATAGTGTGAAAAGCATTTTCTGCTCTGGGTCAATTGCAGCCATAGTCTTAAGTGCACTAAGTCCTTTTTGGCATCTCGTCACAACACTCTCCACATGGTCCTAGTAGTTGATAAAGGTTTAATGTTTATATGGAGTAGTTAATATAGGTTTAATGTATATATGTAGTAGTTAATATAGGTTTAATGTATATATGTAGTAGTTGAATAAGGTTTAATGTTTATGTAGGTAGGTATAGGTTTTATTATATGTGTGGTAGTTTTAATGTATATGTAGATATAGGTTTAATTATATATGTAGTAGTTACAGGTTTAATGTATACATATAGTAGCTATAGGTTTAATGTATATGTGTAATAGTTACAGGTTTAGTGTATATGTGTAATAGTTACAGGTTTAGTGTATATGTGTAATAGTTACAGGTTTAATGTATATGTGTAGTAGTTACAGGTTTAATGTATATGTGTAGTAGTTACAGGTTTAATGTACATGTAGATTTTTCATTCCTAGTCCTACTAAAACCTCACAATAACATTGCTATAACTCTATCCCCTAAAATAATAACATGTTACCTTTGATCTATTGTTGGGACACAGACAAGTTTCTTTATCACTGGGCTGCTCTACCAGTTCAAATCCTCTGGTTTCGGTAGGTTTCTTTTTCAAATGTTTGGCAAAACTCTGATAAGAAAAAGAGATAAAACAATGTAAAAAACAAAACAAACAAAAAACAACAACAAAAATGTAGCAGGGTTAGAATATTTCAAAAAATTTAAAGTGATATACAAAAATTAAAAATTTTGAATGGTAAACAGTTTTTTCAAATGGAACCAATGAGCAAATCTGAGTTGAAATTAAGCAAATTTAAAACTGACGATCAAAATATCCATAGGCTTGATAATACGGCACAATGATGAAAGTGTTGTTAAAGTTAACCTCTTGCCCAGGAAAGACTAAATCTAGTCACTTTCAGTTGCCACAGTCTTGTAAATGCTAATACATCAGCTTGTCTCCAGTGACCTGATCTCGAAAATTGCAGTTAAATTGGTTCTATACATTCCTGTGCAATGTTTAATATGCCAGGATATAAAGTTAATAATTAAAAATAGCATTAGGGGTTTCCTTATGACCCCAATGGCTTTTTAAAGTCATGATGTCAAATTTTCCTGTGTCATCGACAGAGGTTATAAAGTCACAGCATAAGTCATCTGTGAGACATATTGTATTTTTTAGCCCCAGGAGATGTGGTCTGCTACCAAATTCCCCATAGTTGATTCTGAAAATTATGTTGGGATGGTAAAAATAATTTCATAACTCCTGTTGTTCATCCATCATGAGCGATTAAGACCACATTCATCCAAAGTAGAAATGATCAATGATTATAAATACCAATGTGGCTGATTAGTCCAATATAAGCCTGGAAAGTTCTTGAGTAGTGCGGACAACAGATGGAAGTCCCAGTAAGTGTGAGATTAGCAGTACGATTCTTTCTAGTCTGCCTCCGTTTCTCTGCCTGTGCAACCTCCGCTGCCTGGTAGGCCGATGGAATATGTCTGAGGGACGTACGCCATCCAGAACGGTCTTGTGCAGCAGCCTCCTACGTCGCTGTGTTGATGCCAAAATAATTGAGAGCAGTCCTGAGAGTGTCCTCCCTGGAACTTCTTCCCTTGCTGGAGCTCGCCATAAATACTCTCTTAGGGAGGCGATATTCTGGCATGTGGATTAGGTGACCAGTCCAATGCAGCTGATAATTCTTCAGTATCGTATGGATGCTAGGAATGTTTTCCCTATCAAGAACCACAGTATTTGGGATCTTATAACTCCTAAAAAATAGATGTTAACTTACAGTCAGTATTTGGTAAAATATTCTTTAGAGCTCTAAGCTCCTGCGTGGGTTCTGGGGCCTCATTGTGGGGAAAACAATAACAGACCCACTGTCATCCCAGCAAGCAAGTCGTAGGAGTTGACTAGCTGGGGACTTCATTCGCAGTCGGAGTGCATCTACCCGAGCAGCAAGAAACAATCAACAGCACACAAATAAGCCAGTAAAATTGATGTTTCGCAAAACTCAGGCCATGGCACAAAGCCAAAGTCAAAATAGATGAACAACCAGGACTTTCCACTGGATCTTACAGCTGGTGAACAAATAAGAAGAAGAGCTCCAAGCATGAAACTGTAACACATGCATAAGGTCTTGAGGGCGAGCCACGGATTAATACCCACCTCAAATGCCCGTACATGGTAACATAAGATGTCTGCTGGTGTCAGATTTTTCCTTGCAAATACCTGACCATTTTCAGCAACCTTCCGAACCTGGTAATACAAAGAGAATGTTATCTTGCAATATGTCAAGTGAACTGGACAAACAATGAAATGAACATGTCAATTTTCAGAGAAAATGTCAAAGCTAATACTGAGGTAATCGGAACTGGAACTCTTTGCTTGTTGCCTAAGATGGGGACAGAGCACTTATGGAAGTCTTCCGAGTGCTATGATGTTGATTCTTAATTCAACATTCAACTAGCTCAGCGGTTCTCAAACTGTGTTAATTTCACAACAACAACATTTTACAAACAAATTCTTCCCTTACCATGATTCTGCAGCCACTCGAGAAGTGAATATCCAAATTTGAGAACAAAACTTCAAAGTTTGTTCAATTTTGTAACAAATTCCAAAGTTATGATAAGTTTCTAGGTTAGTTTAGCACTCAGGAGCTCTCAGAGTGCTGAGCAAAATTTCAGAGAAAAAATGGCCGAAAAATAAGCCATTACACACACGCTATTTACTATTTACTTTGTACAGTTATATACAGACTGTTAATGCCATGTGTAGCTTAGCCATAGTATAGTAAAATCTCTTTGTTTAGAGCACCTTCCTTCTCTGAAACCATAAATACGGTAGCAATGGGACATTGTCTATGTAATAAATTCATCAGAATCGCTAGATTCAGAATATCTGATCGTTCAGCTTCACTGGTGAAAATGCCCCGTCCAAATCACTTTAAGAAAAATCTAAACTTTCATTATCATTATCAGAATTAAAAACATCTGACTGAAACAATTTCAGAGCTTCGGCCACAGAAAGACGCATTCTGTGACCTCTAATTGTGGTTGGAACATTGGTATTCATGGCACTTAAAAACGAACTTAGAAAATGCACTGTTAAAAAAAAAATTTGCTGTTAATCCTATCAAATTTTGCACATGTGGTTTAGGCTAGGAAACTAAGCTAAAAATATTTCGGCAGAGTGACTTTCCCTGAATAGTTTAATCATACCTCCGAACATTAGAAACTAATATGGAGGAGTGTGCGAAGCTAAATGTACGGGACACACAATCGACATTGACAGAGTTGTTTGGGCAAAACAGAACTTCTCAAACAACACTCACATCCTTGCTTGGGCCTCAGGGAGTTAAGGACTGGGAGATAGGCCGTGATTCACATCTGTATGTGGCTAAAAAGAAGATGCATGCTCTCAAAATGGTAATTTTGATTTTGTTGATGGTGCTTAATTAACCATAGACTTTGAATGCTGTTTAATCTTTGCATTGCTATGGCCATCCTTCTTTGGAATTTTGACAAACAGTATCTATTTGCGATTTATTATAGAGCCTAAATATTTAAAGTCTGTGACATTTTCAATTTATTTATCATTTACTGTTATTTTTGGGTGACAGCCATTTTTGTCTGTGGATATTATTTTTGTTTTCTTTAAATTCAAGAACAGGTTTTGATCTTCATTGTGTTTTTGGACAGACATGGTTTTCCATAATGAGTTTCTTTGGATAAAAATGTAGTAGTTTCCCCTTGCTTTCCACATCCCCATGGCTGTAAACTAGGTCATCAGCCTTCAGCAACTTTTTAGATTGCCAGGGCAAGTGAGTGCCCTGCTCTGTGATGTTCCTTCACAGCAAAGGGCACAACAGAGGTGTCCACTTATCCCAGGAGATACTCAGTCCCCATATTTAACTACTCACACTTTTTGTTGTAGCAGTATTCTAATACTGTTCTTCAACAATCCCTGTTCACTTTGATGTATAATATGTGTATGCTGTGCAGCGGCTGAATTAGCATCTGCTTTTTCTTTTTCAGCATTCCGAGCCCTTGAGGTTCACTGCTGCAGATATTAGCCGCCTTTATTCATCTCTCTGGTTGGCCTTCTTTTTCCAGTTGATGACACCCAGTGTTTGCAGGTCTGTCCGGAAATTATCTCTCCATCGTCTTCTTAGTCTGAACATTTTGCCCATTACAAGCTGAAGTAATTCCTGCCTGGGATTGAAAGAATTAATTAACGAATGTTTTGTACATTACAAGCTGAAGTAATTCTTGCCTGGGATTGAAAGAATTAAGTAACTAACATTTTGCCTATTACAAGATGAAGTAATTCCTGCCTGGGATTGAAAGAACTGAGCAACGAATGTTTTGTCCATTACAAGCTGAAGTAATTCTTGCCTGGGATTGAAAGAATTAAGTAACGAATGTTTTGTCCATTACAAGCTGAAGTATTTCCTGCCTAGGATTGAAAGAATTGAGTAACGGATGTTTTGAGTAAAAAAGTTAAACACAGAAAACAGTCGAGTACTCACCTCATCATCATGTTCTCTTGCCCACTGTATCTTCTCCAGCAAATCACTGAGATCCCGTCTGATGGGAATGTAGTGAACATTTGGCTCAAGTTCTGAATAAAAATGTTCATAATAGTCTGACTCCTGCTTGAAGATGGCTGCATCTCCTGCAAGTAAGTATGGCAACCTGTAGGCTGCCACTGTGCCATCAATGTTCAGCTGATATTTGTACTGGAACAAAAGAAGAGATTGATAACACAACTGTATCTGTACTGGAACGAAACAGGAATTTGATAACACAATTGATATTTGTACTGGAATGAAAGAAGAGATTGATAACACAATTGATATTTGTACTGGAACGAAAGAAGAGATTGATAACTCAACTGATATTTGTACTGGAATGAAAGAAGAGATTGATAACACAACTGATATTTGTACTGAAATGCAAGAAGACATTAATAACACAACTGATATTTGTACTGGAATGCAAGAATCTCTTTTCTAGCTACTGAAAGAGGGGATGGAGAATGTGCAGGCAGGTAGAAGCCATCCCATGCTACCTCTATTACTGAAAGTTATGTTATCACAATCAAGGTCAATGCAGTTTGTGCATTCTGATCTAGGCTCTGTCCTTTCATGTGAAAGCCATGTAAAGGTACCTCTTCTACAGTAAGTCAAGCTGTTGCTATAACCTTATGCTTTTCAACTGTGGCTTTTCTAAATCTTTTATTCACTTATTTAAGAACTGATATCACAGCACACCAGGCACACCAGGCACACCAGGCACACCAGGCACACCAGGCACACCAGGCACACCAGGCTATGTTCGGTCTCCAGCAGCTAATGTCTTGAAGTGTAGATACTAACTGTTCCTGTAGCACATTGATTATACAGACATCATTCTTTTCCTACCAAACATCCTTCCTTGCCAGATCCACACTGAATTCCTCATTCTTCTTCTTCTTGTTCACCGGCTGTGAATTCCGGCGGTAAGTCGCGGTTGTTCGTCCAAAATGGACTTTTGGCTTTTACCTTGACCTGAGTTTTTGCGTGTACATCCGTTTTACTGGCTTATTTGTTTGCAGTTCTCGTTCCCCGCCTCTCCGCGAGATGTACTCCGACTTCGAGGGAAGACGTCAAGCCTATTTCTAGGTTGACTGTGGCCAATTTTTTTTTGTGGGTGGAGATGTTGCCTCATTTGTGTGGTGTCCTCTTTGACCTTTAACAGGTGTGGTCCTCGGAATATCCTCCTTAAGGCAGCACTAGGTAGAACTGTCAGCCCTCAAGGGAAGGCAGGGGCAGATCATGGGCATTCCCCGCCATCCAAGGAGGCTTCCATAAATGCAGAGCCGACACATGATGCTCTGGTTCTGGGCTCGCCCATGACTGCTTAACCTCCCAACCGTGTATTGAGCTTCCCACGCCACAAGGCTGCGCTCTCCAGAGATCAGCGGGGAGCAGCCCGCAGGTCCAGGACTTTTGTGGATACACAAATAGGTACATTCTTTTTCATCGTACGTTAGACACCTTTAACGTTGTTTCAGCTGTGCCCTTAGCACGACAGAACGGGGAAGCAAAATGCTTCACCTGTTTGGTCCCAACACTCGGGCGAGTGGGACCAGTGGATACGGACATCTGGACTTTTTCCTAATCGGTACGAATTATGATCGTCGGACTTTGAGCTTGCATGTGTGCCGTGGGGTTTAACTTTGTCGTTCATAATTTCCTAGCCAGCAGATGAAAAGTTGCTGCCGTGGTGTACCTCAGCGCGGTGACGACGACACTGAGGATTGACAGAGGATTACGTAGGTAGGATCTTGCTGCGAGAAATTGCCCACAAGAGATGTTACTCGTCTTGGCTGCGGTAAATCTCTCGGTCAGGGTTGAGTTTCAGCAGCACAGTTTTCCATTCGCTCCTGAATTTTAACCGAGAGTTGTCATTTGATGGTACATTTGGCAAGCAATCCTTACTCGTGTTCCGAATGAGTTTTGTTAGACTTTTCACCCATGCGTTTGGGGGCGGGCTGGTGAGAGCCAGAAAGGACACTACACCTCTAGGGGTCGCTAGCTCCGAGATCCCATGCCAACTCTGTTAATGCTCATTTGAGACATTATCCGTGGCGCATGACGGGGACGTGCAGCAGGAGTCTTGCATGAGGTTCCGTAGAACCAAAACAGTGAAGGACTGGCGCCCGAGTGGGGTACGGAATATCTCCTTATACACATCACATCAGACTTAACTTTCCCTCATGCCTGTGACCGAAATCACCGCGCCACGAATTCCTCATTCAAATAATCTTCTTTTTCTTCTTCTTCAGCATTCCCAGCCTTGAGGTTCATTGCAGCAGATATCACCCGCCTCCATTCATCTCTCTTGTTGGCCTTCTTCAGCATTCCGATCCCTTGAGGTTCATTGCTGCAGATATCACCCGCCTCCATTCATCTCTCTGGTTGGCCTTCTCTTTCCAGTTGGTGACACCTAGTGTTTGCAGGTCTGTCTGGATATTATCTCTCCATCGTCTTCTTGGTCTGCCTCGTGGTCTGTGACCATTCATCTCCATTGTGTAATCAGTTTTTTTCTTCTTTGTCATCTGACATTTTTCTAATATGCCCCAACCATTTCAGTCTATTAGCTCTCATGATAAGTTCTAGAAGTTTACATGAGTTACATTCAGATAATCTTACACATGTTATTTTATCTAACCTTGTATCTTCTATTAGCTTTTGTTTATAAATGGTCCTTAGAATGTCTCCTTTGAATCTTGTCATCCCCTTGTGGGATGCAATTGTTCGTTATTTGAAGCCCTACTCTGGCTCTTGTCAGGGGCCGCAATATAGTCCGGCCATAAATATGGTCTAATGGCAAACTGCGGTTTCTGGGACCTCTCCACTGGTGATCCTCACCCACATGGTAGCACTTTGTGTCATCGGGTGTTTATCGCTTGTGTGATGTCCTGGTGGGGTAAAAGTAGATAGATAGAGATGTCTCCTTTGTTCCCTAGTTATCGCTTTTGTAGTCAGAAAATCTGCTCTTTCAATATCCTCGCACCCAGACAGTATATCAAAATGTCCCTGTAATGCTGATGTGCTGTTGCTTGGTAACCACTCATGCCACATTTATCCATTTTAAATATTTTGCAGTACCAACTGAGAATCAGACACCATAATTCCTCTGGTAACTATTTTCTACTGTCCACTTTAGAGCTACAGTGACTGCCTCCACCTCTATCCTCATGCTTGAAGTTGTAGATTAAAAGCACAATTTTCGAAGTGTTTTATATGGTTAACCCTGAAAAGCCCACTCAGTCGTGGGCTACCCAAACTACACAACAGCTTGAAAGTTAAGCATCATTTATTAACACTGACAAATTCTTCCCATACACACCCAGTGTGGCATGTGGGTGAGTGACATAAGAAAGGTAACTCTTTACTTATCTGAACAAATCAATACCATTTAAGTCTTTTAACAAGATGGTCATTCTCTAGCAATTGTAACTCGGTTTAGAGTTTTAATGGTTGATTAGGGTTTCTAGAATCTGCTCCTGTTAGATTTTCATGTGAAAAGTTGTTCTTTCAGTCACTGGGTGTTAATCTTTCAGGTTGCAAACCCAGAGGTCATATTTTTTTTTTTTAATGTAATTCTGAATATTTTGTAAGTTAAATTTAACAACTTACAAAATCATACCTGGAAGAAATCAAAGAATGAAACATGCTCAGCCAGTTCACCATACTTGCTGCTGTTCTTTGGAAAAAAGAACATATTGGTGAGTCTGGCATCGATGAGGTCTGGATGTTTCAGTGACATCTCAACCAGCTGCAGCCTCTCTTTCCGACTGTCCCGGCCACGCCAGAAGACTTTGTTTGTCTTGTTCTCCCATTTAGGCCCCGTGTTGGCTTGCACAGAGAATATATCCAGTGAAACTCTGTGAAGAGTCAATGAAGTCATGCAGCACTTGTCACAACAAGAAAATACAATGCTAAAATAAATATTTGGGGGGGTGGGGGAGGGGTGGACAGAATAATTGTTTTTCATGCCCGATATGGCTGAAGGCATTAAAAGGAGTCCTTTACTTTATTTTACAAGAAGAAGGCAAAAAGTAAGTCTAAAATGGTTATGAGATGGCAGGAAAATGTAGTTGGTTGTTTCTAAAGGTGTCATTAGGTGAGAGCAACTTTGAACTTATGTCTCTATTCGTTAGGTGGTGCTATGTGCTGCATGCGCATGCGCAACACAGAAACAAAATGGCGACTATACTTACGAAGTGTACCCTCAAATAACACTGTGCTGTTGTACATTTTTTCTGGTGCAAAAGGGCTGCCAGCAAAGGATCTGCATAAAGAAATGCTTCCTGTTTATGGTGACAAATGTTTATCCCATAAAGTGGTGCATAGTTGGGTAAAGAAGTTTTCTCAAGGACGCTCTACCATTGTTGATGAAGTCTGCTCTGGTCATCTTGTTGAACTGCAACAGACGTATCCGTGCAGCATGTGGAGATGATTAGAGGTGACAGGAGAGTAACGAACGACCATGTAGCAGCTGCAATAGGGTGCTCACATGGTTTTTGATCTGCTGAAAATCCACCCTGGTGAGAGGCATTTCAGGAATGACGCAGATGTTGAATGTGAAGTAAAAATATGGTTAAGAAAACAGAGCGCACTTGTATGCAGCAGGTTTGAGAGGACTAATAAAATGATGGGAGAAGTGCATCAATGTTGGTGGAAATTATGTTGAAAACTAAAAGGTCAGTGTATGCGAATAAATAAATGGTTTTCAAGTTGTTATTAAATTAAATTTTTTTAAAACTATTTATAACTTACTTACTGACTTACCCTCATACTCCTTTGACCACTGGGTTTGAGCAAGGACACTTTAGTAACATTATTACAGGTGTTCTCAACATATGACATATTCAGCAACAGCATCATTTTCTCACCTCTTAGTTCACTAGAATTTGTTTATATATAATGAAAGAAATATGTGCTGACTGGCACTAATAGAAAAAAGTAGAAAGACAGAAAGAGCACACAAGACAACCATTAGTTGATCATGCATCTTTTTCTGCAGGGAGGCGCTCTTTTCATTTGGAGGTGACAGGTTCAATTCTCAGGATGTTTTTGATATTTTTTATGTTGTTTAGTAAGTCACCTTTCTACTTACAATGTTCATACAGCCTCAAGGGGTTTCCATCTAGTTATTTCTGTGGAGTTTGTTTAGTTCTCTCCCAAAGCTCCATTTTAGTGATTCTGTTCTATCATTTCATTCCTGTATTCTGCCCAGGTACCACTTAATGAATGTTTGTCATTTATTGGTAATCATTTTAGTTCTCTTTTTTTTCTCCTCCATACAGCAGTACTGATTTGACATTAAAGCTAAATATACTGTTTGGTATATATTTTTGTTTAGTGATTTCCAGATTTTATATTATTATAAAACCTCCTAACTTTACCAATGTAGGTTAAAGGTCACAAACTAGAACAAGTAAATCATTTCAAATATTTAATATCAATTTCAAGTGACCTGGGGTCAAGACCAGAAATCTTGTCTAGGATTGCCCGGACAACATCAGTTCTAGCCATGCAGCAAATATTATGGACATCCAAAAACATTTCATGCAAAACTAAGATTCAGTTGCTCAGAGTACTAGCTATTGATTCGTCTTCTTCTTCTTCTTCTTCTCTTCCACCTTGTACCTCTCTGAAGTGTCGGGAGGAAATGTAGCATTCACTGATGAGCTCTGTCATGAGCACTATTAAGATTGATTTTCATTTTTGTAAGGTTGTTCTTAATGCCATCACCTAATCTTTTCTGAGGTCTTCCACTAGATCTATACCTGTTGTACATTTCAGTGTGGCTCGTTGTGATAGATAGTACCAGGGCATTCTTGTTAGGTGTCAAAACCACTTCATTTGTTGTTTTTTGATGACCTGTAAGACTGGCTTTATTCCTAGCATTTGTCTGATTTCATGATTTCATATTCTGTCTTTCCTTGAAACTCCTGCAGCTCTTCTAAGGCATTTCATCTCTGTTGTCACAATTTTACGTTTATTGAAGGATGTAAGTGTCCATGTTTGGCATTGATAGCATAGTGTTGGCCAAATAATAGTTCTGATAAGATTCACTTTAGTACTCCGGGGTATCTGCTTGTGTGTCAACAGGGGAGATAGTTGACCCATTACATGATTAGCTTTGGCACATCTGGAGCTAATTTCTCTGTCCATTTTTCTGTCGGATGTGATAATTGCTCCCAAATACTTGAATTCCTTTGTTTGTCTTAAAGCGTTTTAAAAACTTTTTTTCGAAATTGTCTTAGCTATTAGTACATTTACATATGGCTGAGAAACGTGGATCTTAACAGCTGAACTCGAAAGGAAGATAAAAGCACTGGAAATACATTGTTTCAGAAAAATTCTTGGCATATCATACGGAGACCACATTACAAAGGAAGAGGTTCGCCATATAATTATACAACAATGAACCTCTTTTAACTACAGTGAAAAGGCAAAAAATATAATGGTATGGACATGAAACATGATCTAACGGCCTCTCAAAAACAATACTGCAGGGCTCAGTAGAGGAGAAAACTTCCGGTCAAAATGGTCGCTAGGCAGGGGCACTGTTTGGAGCCGAGGCAAATTTTTTTATTCTGCCGGAAGGTGGCCGTTGCAGTTTTGCTCCATTTTTAGACTGAATATAGTTTCGTCGCCCAGCTTCTGCGTTGAATGCATGGCGTAACATTGAGAGCTGCGGATTTCATTTGGAATGGTTTTTTTTTACTGTGACCAACGTGGTGGTGTGAATTGTAGATTCAGAAAATGGCGCGAAGCCTGTAGTCACAATGTTGGTGATGCCCGTATGTGATTAAAATTGACCGCGTGTGCAGCTGCTGATCTGATGGTGACTTCTGCTACCATCAATGATGAACTGCATTTCTAATGTCGGACTGTTTGTGTTAGCACTTCGGATGGCTACCTATGCTTTAATGTGTGTGTATGCTAAATATGCTAAGACAGCAGTCTGTCAATCTTTCCACAAGGGACTGTGATAAACATTCTATGTGTTTTTCGTTGGCACAGGAGCAGAGCAAATGATGGGGTGACCCGTTTGCTATGAAGCTGAAACTAAGACTACCAGACTATCAGAGGAGAAGAGGCAAACCATGGAAGACCTGGTTACAGAACGTGACTGACTAGACAGGCCCCAGGCATGCAACCATGTGAAGTCCATCGCAGCTGACCGCCAAAGCTGAAAAGAGCTGATTTTACAGTCAACAGAAACCGATGATCCAACAACACGCAATTTTAAGGGATGATGGTGATGATGAACACATCTAGGTTGCAACATTGCATCGTTAATGCAAAACTCTCTGGCCTGTTGCCAGCTTGTGCCATCTGGCGCATCAAGAGATTTAGTCCTGTTTCAATGGCAAGCCGGGTCGCATAAAATGACTGGTTAATCATCCATTAATGACAACACAAAACTGAAAATATGTGGACTTATTGATTTCCACCCTTATAATAATGTCCATGCTGTTGCCACACTAAAATACAGCCTTGTGAATTATATTACTATTGATACTGAAAGCTACAAAATATCTCATTATATTGAAACTAGTGGCTCAAGACGGAACAAACAGGGAATTATGGACAGATTGGTAGCAATGGAGTAGTGGTTGGACAGATTCTATCCTAAATTATCATCAGATTTATTAACTAATTTAGTACCTAGCACAACTTACTATGCATCTGTTGAGCTCTACTTACAACATGTACTGTACTTAACCAATTGTCCGCCATCTAACTTTTAAATAACTCACTCTGCCACAACCTTAGTTTTAAATCCTTCTTTTTTGTGGTGTTATACTTCTTCAGACAATCATTACTATCTGAGGAGAATGGCGCTGTAAGGAGTTACCAGGGGATTTGGCCAACGCTCAACACTCAGGGGATGGATGAGACGATTATACAATCAGATTGTTACTGGCACCATCGAAATTGCAACTCTTCGCTTGCTGCTGAAAATGGGGACTAAGCACTTATGGGAGTTTTCCGAGTGCTGTGATATCGATTCTTAATTCAACATTCAACTCCTCTAGACAAACATTTTTTATTAAATATTAACCTCTTAGGATATAACTAGTTTCTTCTTCTTTTCCTTCTCCAGCGGAAAGTTTCGCTTGTTATTTCAACACTGGATTCTTAGTCTTGTTCCAGAACCTGAGTTTTGCGTGCACATCCGTTCAACATATCTGGCTAATCTGTGTATAGACCGACGGGTCCTCACTTGTCAGGCAGATGCACTCCGAGTTTGAAGGAAACATCCCTAATTAGTCGACTCTCACATGCTGGTTCATTGGCAATGGATATATTCATTTTTTCCCCACACAGTGGGACCCTGGACCCACACAGGGAGGACAACAAACACTAATTTAACAGTCCGTCCCTCCGGCAGTCACTGTATTAACTTCTGCTGCAGATGTTAATTTCATTCCTTAATTCTCAAGGTGTTATTATGACTCCTTTAGACAAACATTTCCTCATCATCATGTGCCCTGCCAACTGGTGTAGGGACTCATGCATCTCCACAGATCACGATTCCTGGCTGCATGGAACAGCTCTCTTGATGATATTCCTTCATGCCATCATTTCAGCCCATCCAGTATCATCTTTCTTGGTCTGCCTCTACCCCTTTTTCCTCTGATCTTGCCAGTTGTCACGATGTTCTCCAATGTCTCTCTTCTCATTATGTGGCCAAAGAACAGTGTTTGTCTCTTTCTTATTGTTGTATATAGAAATCTACTTTCATTAGCTTCTTTTAAGCAATTGTTGTTAGTTACCATAGATATTCGTAACATTTGTCTCAGAAACCACATCTCTGTTGCCTCCAATTCCTCTTAATTTGTTCAGTGACATTCCAAGATTGACAAACATTTATGAATTAAAATGTGACTACTTAGAACAAAATAAGTTTCTTGAGTTTTGCATGCACATCCATTTTATAGATCTGGCTTATTTGTATGCAGACTGTGGGTTCCTTGCCTCCAAGGTAGATGATGCACTCTGACTTCGTAAGAAACACCCCTAACTAGTTGTCTTTTATGACAGACCTTTTAGTTGGCAGTGAGTCTATTATTATTTATCCCAAAGTGGGGTCCCAGAACCCACACAGGGTATAATCTGAAACGGTTAACATGAAAGATGTGTATATCTGTGTGTGTGTGTGACAGAGAGAGAGTTTATGTGCATGTGCATGCATGCGTGTATCAGCATGTTCAAGTCAGAGAGTTAGCAGTGTGGTATAAAAAGATAGATGGCAGCAGTAAGGAAAAGGGAAGAGCTTTAGGAATCACTGAATTAGACACTATATTATTTTTTTGCAGTAATAAAGTCAAACAGGCAATTAGTTACTGTAGCATCATTGCGATTATTTATCTGATTTCTAGAATCTATTGATGCAACTGTATAATAAGGGGAGACTAGATTAATATCATTCCCTTCAGTTACTGTACTACTGCATTTATACTGTTTCTTTCATCTACTTAGTCAGAACATATTAAATATAGTATGTATTTATACTGTTTCTTTCATCTTCTAAGTCAGAACATATTAAATATAGTCTGTATTTATACTGTTTTTTTTTTTTCATTTACTTAATCAGAACATATTAAATATAGTCTGTATTTATACTGTTTCTTTCATCTACTTAGTCAGAACATATTAAATATAGTCTGTATTTATACTGTTTCTTTCATCTACTTAGTCAGAACATATTAAATATAGTATGTATTTATACTGTTTTTTTTTTTTCATTTATTTAATCAGAACATATTAAATATAGTCTGTATTTATACTGTTTCTTTCATCTACTTAGTCAGAACATATTAAATATAGTCTGTATTTATACTGTATTTATACATCTACTTAGTCAGAACATATTAAATATAGTCTGTATTTATACTGTTTCTTTTTTCTACTTAGTCAGAACATATTAAATATAGTCTGTAATTTATTCTGTTTCTTTCATCTACTTTAGTTAAAATATACTGAATGTAGTTTGTATTTTACTGTTTCTTTCCTCTACTATAGTTGGAATATACTCAGTGTTGTTTGTGTTTATACTGTTTCTATCATCTATCTTAGAATTTACTGAATGTAGTCTGTATTTATACTGTTTCTTTCATCTAATTTAATCAGAATATATTAAATATAGTCTGTATTTATACTGGCTTTTTTTTAATCTACTTTAGTTAGAAAATACTGAATGTTGTTTGTATTTATATTGTTTCTTTTATCTATTTTAGTTAGAATTTACTGAATGTAGTCTGTATTTATACTATTTCTTTTATCTATTTTAGTTAGAATATACTGAATGTAGTTTGTATTTATACTGTTTCTTTCATCTATTTTATAATTTACTGTATGTAGTTTGTATTTATACTGTCTCTTATCTACTACAGTTACAATACAATGAAAGTAGTCTGTATTTATACTGCTTTTTCATCTACAACAGTTACAATAGAATGATAGTAGTCTGTATTTATACAACGGTAATCTTTTGTTACTACAGCCTAACTTGTGTAAACTGTATTAACACAGCTTTTTATTTGGTCAAATTTTGTAGCTACAATCAAATAAATGCAAACAATTACTTATTTTAGCTATTTAGCAGAAATGTAATAAATGTAGCTTCACTGTGGCTTAGCAGTTAACATGCTTGTTGAGTTTAATTCCCAGCAAAGGTTCGATTTTTCATTTCTGATTAGTACAGCTATGGGATTCACAGGACCTTATAAAAATGGGTACATGATATATTTCTGGAAAGGTAGTGGGGAAGGAAATTTTATCTTGTATTTTATGGCCTAAAATATGTGAAAGCATAACATTTCATACTTTGACAGCAGTTTCTGCTCTCTGAGTATTTTTTACCTTATAACAAATACAGATTGTATCTTTCGGCTGTTTTAGTTAGAATATAATCAATACAGATGGATTTTTCTTATCTTAAAAAAAATATAATACAGAAGCATTTACATATTCATGTTTTCCCACTATCTGTGGTACAAATTAAAAGATGAACATACCCTATGCAGATTGATATTTCAGCATATTTATAAACTATATTTATAGATCACCGTATTATTTGCCGATCTTTACCAAAAGAGTTGACTAACCCATGAAGGCAACAAGAGAGAGCTCACCTGTTCATCATCTCCAGAGAAGCTTCTGTGATGTCGTAAGTAGGTAGAACAATGTCATAAGTCTGCTTCGACCCACACCAAGAAAATATCGGAATAGGTTTATCTTTCAGTGGTTTATTTTCTAAGGGCCAGTCGCCCAAGTTGATAAAAAATTCTACATCTGATAGAAACATCTGTGAAGGAATAAAACGATAAATATCAAACAAAATCAATGAAAGCTTTATTTGTTCAGAATTAATGTTATATTTGTAATGTAAAAATTGTAAACAGCATTTAAATGAAAACAATTTGTTTTGTGTTTAGTCTCCTTTTTTTTAAATTAAACTATAGTCTTTTTCCCCAAGATGCAAATTCTTTCTTAAATAATTAATATAACCAAACATGTTATTTCTTTGTCACAAAACTGCACTTTCAACGCGGCTACACTGGTGTATGAGAATGATTTGAACAGTGTCCTTGAGAGGAACAATGAAAGTAAATAAAGCAAACATGATGCCTTTCTATAAAACAACAACAGCTGAAGATAATTTAAAAAATACATAAATCAGAATTATTTATTTGTGTGCTTTATTATTTCATTGCAATAAATATTGCAGTATGCATCTGACGAGATACTGTGAAATATCTCAAGCAAAAAATTGTGTAAGATATTGTTTGTGTCCCCATTACTTAAATTTACAATGGGAAAAAGCTGCTTTTAACTGCATTAACCTTTACCTTACGTGTCAAGGACAGAAGAATTGCATCAGCAAACATATTAAAGCCAATGTGTTCTCCGTAACATTTTCTGTACACCTGATAAGATAAAAGAAAGATAATGTTAATTACATCAGTAAGAAAAACACATACAGGTAAGAACAATTTCTGTGTGTGGGGTGAATTTACAAAAGTAGCCAAATTGTGGTCAAGAAATAAAATAACTACTCGCTTGGAGATCCAAAATCCTTATTCCCTTAGAATAGTCTCTTCGGGACTTCATGTCCCCTGTGTGAGTTTTGGCATCCCATTTTGGGGGAAAAAATAGACCGCTTGCCCCCACCCCTCCCTCACAAGAATGTCGTAAAAGGCACTTATTAGGGGTATTTCCTTCAAGGTTTGCCTGAGAGGCAAGGAACCAACAGTCTGATAACAAATAAGCCAAATCTGTAAAATGGATGTGCACACAAACCTCAAGTCCTAGAAGAAGACCAAAGTCCATTGATGAACAACCAGAACTTCCTGCTGGAGTTTACAGCAGGTGAACACTGAGAAAAATAAGAACAAGGGATTGCATACATGTCTCCTAGCAATGCCACCACTGTTGGAGTTTACAGCCGGTGAACACTGAGAAAAATAAGAACAAGGGACTGCATACATGTCTCCTAGCAATGCCACCACTGTTGGAGTTTACAGCAGGTGAACACTGAGAAAAATAAGAACAAGGGACTGCATACATGTCTCCTAGCAATGCCACCACTGCTGGAGTTTACAGCCGGTGAACACTGAGAAAAATAAGAACAAGGGACTGCATACATGTCTCCTAGCAATGCCACCACTGCTGGAGTTTACAGCAGGTGAACACTGAGAAAAATAAGAACAAGGGACTGCATACATGTCTCCTAGCAATGCCACCACTGTTGGAGTTTACAGCAGGTGAACACTGAGGAAAAATAAGAACAAGGGACTGCATACATGTCTCCTAGCAATGCCACCACTGCTGGAGTTTACAGCCGGTGAACACTGAGAAAAATAAGAACAAGGGATTGCATACATGTCTCCTAGCAATGCCACCACTGCTGGAGTTTACAGCAGGTGAACACTGAGAAAAATAAGAACAAGGGACTGCATACATGTCTCCTAGCAATGCCACCACTGTTGGAGTTTACAGCCGGTGAACACTGAGAAAAATAAGAACAAGGGACTGCATACATGTCTCCTAGCAATGCCACCACTGCTGGAGTTTACAGCCGGTGAACACTGAGAAAAATAAGAACAAGGGACTGTATACATGTCTCCTAGCAATGCCACCACTGTTGGAGTTTACAGCAGGTGAACACTGAGAAAATAAGAACAAGGGATTGCATACATGTCTCCTAGCAATGCCACCACTGTTGGAGTTTACAGCAGGTGAACAGTGAGAAAAATAAGAACAAGGGACTGCATACATGTCTCCTAGCAATGCCACCACTGTTGGAGTTTACAGCAGGTGAACACTGAGGAAAATAACAAGGGACTGCATACATGTCTCCTAGCAATGCCACCACTGCTGGAGTTTACAGCAGGTGAACACTGAGGAAAATAAGAACAAGGGACTGCATACATGTCTCCTAGCAATGCCACCACTGCTGGAGTTTACAGCAGGTGAACAGTGAGAAAAATAAGAACAAGGGACTGCATACATGTCTCCTAGCAATGCCACCACTGTTGGAGTTTACAGCAGGTGAACAGTGAGAAAAATAAGAACAAGGGACTGCATACATGTCTCCTAGCAATGCCACCACTGTTGGAGTTTACAGCCGGTGAACACTGAGAAAAATAAGAACAAGGGACTGCATACATGTCTCCTAGCAATGCCACCACTGCTGGAGTTTACAGCAGGTGAACACTGAGAAAAATAAGAACAAGGGATTGCATACATGTCTCCTAGCAATGCCACCACTGTTGGAGTTTACAGCAGGTGAACACTGAGAAAAATAAGAACAAGGGACTGCATACATGTCTCCTAGCAATGCCACCACTGCTGGAGTTTACAGCCGGTGAACACTGAGGAAAATAAGAACAAGGGACTGCATACATGTCTCCTAGCAATGCCACCACTGCTGGAGTTTACAGCAGGTGAACAGTGAGGAAAATAAGAACAAGGGACTGCATACATGTCTCCTAGCAATGCCACCACTGCTGGAGTTTACAGCAGGTGAACACTGAGAAAAATAAGAACAAGGGACTGCATACATGTCTTCTAGCAATGCCACCACTGCTGGAGTTTACAGCAGGTGAACACTGAGAAAAATAAGAACAAGGGACTGCATACATGTCTCCTAGCAATGCCACCACTGCTGGAGTTTACAGCAGGTGAACACTGAGAAAAATAAGAACAAGGGACTGCATACATGTCTCCTAGCAATGCCACCACTGTTGGAGTTTACAGCAGGTGAACAGTGAGGAAAATAAGAACAAGGGACTGCATACATGTCTCCTAGCAATGCCACCACTGCTGGAGTTTACAGCAGGTGAACACTGAGAAAAATAAGAACAAGGGACTGCATACATGTCTCCTAGCAATGCCACCACTGCTGGAGTTTACAGCCGGTGAACACTGAGGAAAATAAGAACAAGGGACTGCATACATGTCTCCTAGCAATGCCACAACTGTTGGAAGCATTTCAAATAGATCTCTTAGAGAACAGAGGACAGCTTGGCCATCACATTCCACATAGTGTAAATCTGGCCCCTTTCAGCAACATTTCAGCTTGAGGAAAGGCCAAAAATGCAAGAAGCCATGTTGTGAGAGTTGTTAGAGCAGAGAAATGTAGCATTTGACTAAGAAAATCTGGATAAGATGTGAAAAATGGGTAGGTGCTTGCGATAATAGTGATTCAAGGGTTCTGCAAGATCAAAGTTCACACTTGACATCCTCATCATCAATAAACAGGTCCTTTACAGAATGTCGCTCCCATCATAGGATGTCCAAAAGTCTCTCCGTCCCTAGTCAATTCTCCAGCCCTATGTGCTATCATAGCTAATGCATCTGCAATGTCTTGTATCCACGTTCACAGAAGTCTGCCTCATTGTCTGGAAAGTGGAAATCTATAGTCTGTGTGCAACAGGACATTTAACATGGCCAAAATACTTCAGCTTTCCTGACAGGATGCTGTTTATGAGTCAATTCTACTCCAAGCTCATATCATGAAGGATGTTGGTGTTGTTCTGCTTCTTGGTCCCTGGTAGTCTAGGAATTGTTCTGCAGCATTTCAGGTCAAAAGCTCTGATTTGTTTCCTCAGGTTTTTAGGTTTAAACAGAAGATCATCATCATGACATAAGTCTAGTTAAGTGCTTCATTCTTCTTCTAACTCAACCTTGAGTCAGAAGAATCTCAGCGCAGTGCACAAACTCTGTAGCACTGATGAGGATCCTGAAATACTTTGGGTAGATTTTAAACTTCCAATTTTGTCAGGCAGCGCCATTAGGCTACTCTTTCTGATTTTTCAAATGTCAATTGATTTTTTATGTGCGCAACAATACACACGGGCATCCGATCTTACTACCAGAGACCAGAGGAAATTACCAGAAGTCCATGTGAAAAAATCCCAACCTTCACCAGGGCCTGAACCCGGGACCTCCAGCACCCGAGGCATTGAGACTACTCATCCTCTACCTTATCTTGGTCTCCACTGCTGCCCTATATGTAAGCCTATTGGAACTAGGGGCTAAAAGCAGTCTCAGCAAATCAAATAGCATACACATGCATTAAATGTATAAGGCAGCCACCAGAAGTGTTATACAAAAAAAAAAAAAACAGTCCAGCATTAGAAATGCAGTTTATGTGATTATTCTCCCTCTTCTTGATCCATGGTTCTGTAATATTTATGTTAAATGTTAGACGTTGAGTTAAGTAAGAAATGACATCACAGCACTCAGGACACACCTATAAGCGCTTCGTACCCATCTCCAGCAGCAAGTGAAGAGTTAAAATTCAAATGGTAACAGTAACTGTCTGATTGTAAATCAGTCTAATATCTAATTGTTAAGTTCAAAACAAAACAATTAAAAATATCAACTTTAAATACCTTATTGTTAATAACCTTGTAGTGACAGATGCTGTGACGACCTTCATCTTTAAACCTCTCCACTGCTTCCCTGGCCACATGCACCATGTCAATGTCACTAAACGGTTCAAGGTCACGCTCAATCTGTAGGTAGCTTGCTGGACAACCAACAGACGATGCCCACTGGTCAGCAGTTTGATGAGGGCAGTTGCATGTTTCATGATAGACATCACCTGCAAGTGCCAAACATGTTCTTTAACTCTTTCAGTTCGCAAATCATCATCATCATCATCATCATCACCATCACCATCACCATCAGCACCATCATTATCATCATCATCATCATCATCACCACCATCATCATTATCATCATCATCATCATCATCATCATCATCAGCACCATCAGCATCACCATTATCATCCTCACCATCAGTATCATCATCATTATCATCATCATCACCATCATTATCATAATCATCATCAGCATCTTCATCATCAGCATAATCATCATCATCATCATCACCATCATCATGTTTGAACATCATATACAACTCACATTCTATTTCTCCATTCCGTTCTAACTTGTGCAATCTTTGTTGATATCATGAATGCAATCAAGCCCAGTAACTCTGGTCTCTCTCATCAATGTCTAACGTAAGGTTTCACTCAGACATTCTTGTTTTCCTGATCGACTCCCTGTAAGTTTAATGATACTGCCAAAAAGAGGGGGAAAATACAGACATTGTTCTTCTTCTTAGTGTTTACCGGCTGTAAACTCCAGCAGAAAGTTCTGGCTGTTCATCCACTTCTAGGCTTTGGTCTTGTTCCAGAACTTCTGTTTCGCACGCACATCCATTTTACAGATTTGGCTTATTTATGTACAGACTATTGGTTCATCATTGCTTAGCAGATCCACTTCAATTCCAAGGAAATAACCCTAATTAATTGGGTGGGTGGGTGGGTGGGTGGGCAGGCGGGCGTGCGTGCGTGTGTGTGTGTGTGAAAGTCCCCTCTGTCCCGCAACAAAAAGACCCGGTTCACTTGTGCGGTAACATTATCGTACCTGCCAAATACCTCAATGCCTCTGTCTAACCTTGTCTAGACCCCTTACATTGCAGAAGAAACAAAAAACCAGCCAGAGACAAACATGCACACAAGAGAGAGAGAGAGAGAGAGAGAGAGAGAGAGAGAGAGAGAGAGAGAGAGCCAGAGAGAGAAAGAAGCAAATATGTGTGAGCTAATTTTACCTCAACAGAAATAGACAGAGAAAGAGAGAGAGAAAAGAGCATGAAAGAGAAAGAGAGAGACACAGAGAGAGAGAGAGACAGTGAGAGACAGTGAGAGAGAGAGTGAGAGAGAGAGAGAGAGAGAGAGAGAGCCAGAGAGAGAGAGAGAGAAGCAAATATGTGTGAGCTCATTTTACCTCAACAGAAATAGAGAGAGAGAGAGAGAGAGAGAGAGAGAGAGAGAGAGAGAGAGAAAAAGAGCATGAAAGAGAAAGAGAGAGGAGGAGAAAGAGAGAGGAGGAGAAAAAGAGAGAGAGAGAGAGAGAGAGAGAGAGAGAGAGAGAGAGAGAGAGAGAGAGAGAGAGAGATCATTATCATCATCATTTATAGATATTTGTAAATTATTGAGATTTTAATTAAATACACTCTGACCCTTTAACTGATTTACTTCAGTCCAAAACTGTCTAATGTTTACCCTTTGATGCAAACCACTAGAAACTGTCAACTGGCTGCCGTCATTTTCCATCTCAAGCCAGCGGGTGAGTTACATCTTAGTCTCAAGGCTTTGTCAGAACATCTCTTCCTTTGTTACTTGTATGCCCAAGTCATTTCCTAGACCTTTCTTTCACAAGGCCCTGTCTCATTTTTGTATATTATCTTCCATTTTGTCAGTTGTCAGGGATTATTTGAATTACTTTATAAACAAATTATTATTTTAAAAAATTTTAGAGTGAGAGAGAGAGGCAGCGAGTGAAAGAGACAGGAGAAGGGAAGAGAGAGAGAGAGAGATAAACAGAGAGAGGAGAGGGAGCAAGTGAGTGAGAGACAGAGATACAGAGAAAGAGAGAGAGGAGATGGAAAGAAAGAATGAGATGGAGAGGGGGAGAAATCTACGTTTGGCATACCACCATGTATGTCCTGTATTTAGAAAGCCACTAATGTAAAATGGTAAAGTCGGGAGATGTGAACCAGCGTCATTGCACACGGTTGTAACATAAGTGCTCTGCCACCAGTATGGACAGCTGATAAGAAACTGCCTGTGTTGCCGTCCACATGTAACTCCGTAGCTACAGCAACACTCCTCCATTTACCCCAGAGTGTAAACTATGGTACCCATTTCCTAGATGCTGAGTGAACCCAAGGAACCACCAGGTTTTGAACACCAGCCATGGGCAGCAGCGAGTTGCAGCTGGATTTGAAAGTGAGTCTCCTATCGACTGTGCTAACACTGATGTATTACTCACTATATCATGCAATTTTAGAACATAATTTTTAATACAAATAAAAGTTGGGGGAAATAGGTACCCAATGATTTTTTTTTAGCCTCACAGAACTAAAATATACAGCTTTGCAACTGAAGTAATTTTAACGTAAAAATTCAAACATACGGGGCACACATAAAAAAAAAAAAAGAATAGGACAGGAACAAAGAAAGAACTAGGTACCATATTCTTCTTCTTCTTCTTTGTGTTAGGTTTTGTATACTCAGATCAGACCATCAGGTGGGCTGCCTCTATGAACTGGCATGTCAGTAGCAGGTCCTTCATGGTTCCCGGTACCATATAAAGAGTAACCAATGAACGTACAGTGACAGATTATATACACCTGCATCCCACTGTGAAACATCATTTCGTTTTTGTTTTAAAGCCTCACCCTGGCTGTTGATGGGGGCCCTAATATAACCCAGCCTACGGGTTGAACAGGGTTTCTGGGACCTGTCCTGGGGTGATCATCATCTGAATGGTGGCACTTTGTGTCACCAGGTGTTAATCGTTCCGTGTGATGTCTTGGTGGGTACCTCAACATCATCACCTACTGTAAGCTCCCTGGTACTGAAATAGTCCGGAGACAATAAGGTGTGGAAACTTATATCATCATCATCACCTACTGTAAGCTCCCTGGTACTGAAAGAGTCCAGAGACAATAAGGTGTGGAAACTTACATCATCATCATCACCTACTGTAAGCTCCCTGGTACTGAAAGAGTTCAGAGACAATAAGGTGTGGAAACTTACATCATCATCATCACCTACTGTAAGTTCCCTGGTACTGAAAGAGTTCAGAGACAATAAGGTGTGGAAACTTACTCTCATCATCATCATGTTCACTGCTGATAAGCACAGGCAGCTAATGTTTTGCCATCTCACAGATCAGGTCAGTGCTCATGGCTGACCCCATCCAGATGGCCAAGGACTCTAGGTAATTATCTGTTTTCCAACTGCTCTTATGCAATAGAATTTGCCAGCTGTCACCAAGATGTTCAGTTTATTCCTTCTCAGATAATATCCAAACTGTATAAACATGTACACATCTCAGAATGGAAAACCCTGCGGTGTTGACAATGGAAAACCCTACGGTGTTAACAATGGAAAACCCTGCAGTGTTAACAATGGAAAACCCTGCGGTGTTGACAATGGAAAACCCTGCGGTGTTGACAATGGAAAACCCTGCGGTGTTAACAATGAAAAACCCTGCGGTGTTGACAATGGAAAACTAAAATGTAGAAACTTACCCTTGATGTGGTATGGAGATTCTGCAATGTGACGCCCATTCAGCTCTACACTAATCAGAAGGTCAGTGGCGGAGGAAAAGGGGCGGAACCTTACAACGTATGTGCCATCGTGTCGATCTAAGACCTGTGTCCAAATACGGACTCTAGCCCCAGACACTGTAGACACAGATGCTCTGATGGTACCCTGGCCCACAGAATCAGTCAAGCTGTTGAAGAACACACAGCAGTCGATAAAATCACAGAAAACAGTTTCTTCATTTGGTTTAGTGTGGTTTAGGCAATGGATCAAAATCACGACACAAGGGGTAACCCATAAGTGCTCCATTCTACTTCTGACTCAGGCTTGAGTTCGAAGAATCTCAGCACAGTGCACAAACTCCAGATTACTGGCAAGGATCCAAAAATACTTTGGGTAAATCTTTAACTCTAAATTTTGCCAGGGCAGCGTCATTAGGCTACTCTTTTTGATTTTCAACTGCCAAGGTATTTTTTTACGTGCACAAGGATACAAACGGGCGTCCAATTTTACCACCCAGAGACCAGGGGAAATTACTAGAAGTCCACTTGAAAAATCCCTGCCTTCACCGGAGCTTGAACCCAGGACCTCTAGCACTCGAGATGGACGCCATGTCTTGAGACCCCTTAGCCGCCCCCCCCCCCTTTTTTTTTATATTTGTTACAGAAGAAATGCATTGTAAAATAGTTCAAATATGCGCTTAACTTACTGTTGGGAAGGCACTATCATCAGTTATTTTATCAGGAGGCATCTTTACAATAAAGGCCGGCTCTAGTCTAAATAATAATGTGGAGAAGCATTAATGTGGAGAGGTATGACTGCCCACGCCAGTCGGCAAGGTCACTGATGATGATGTAATATTTATTAGAATTATAAATAGAAGAATTAGATGTAAAAATTAAGTCAGTGATTGAGGATAAGCAGTATGGATAGTCCTTATTCTGTGTAAAGCAAGTTTTTTTTTTTTTTTTAACCAAAATCCTAGCAGGTACAAAATTCTATGCACTCCTCTTTTTGTTGGTCAGTCAATATCTGTGGTACTCACTGCGAACACACTTTCCAATTTTAGATCAACCTGATCATTTTTTCAACTGTCAGAAATAGAGCCAATATATCAAGTGTCGATAAGGAGGCTATTCTCCAAATAACGGTTCCAATTATCGAGGCCGAAAATATACCCTAACAGGGCCTCAGTTACATATAAATTTCCTGCGACTATACCGCCACCTCCGAGAGTATCTCCCACGCTGCTACGCACGGAGCAGAGGGGGGCTAAACTAGATGGCTGGGACTCACGAGCAACATGGAGGAAGCTGTAGAAGATGTGGTAGCTGCTGCTCGTGAGTCCCAGCCATCTAGTTGGGGAAACTCTCGGGGGAAACTCTCGGCAGTGACTTTAACTCGGCGGAAGCTTTTCCGCGGTATGCTGTGTAGTCGCTGGAAAGAGGTCCGCAATTTACACGTGACCTAGGCCCTGTTAGGGTATATTTTAGGCCTTAAAAATTTGGGACCATTATTCGGAGGATAGCTGATAAGCACATGCTCTTTTATCCATTGGTCAGTACTTACAACACAACTGTGGCATGTTTTATGTTTTATGTAAGCTAATAACCATGGTGCAAAACAAACAGCTTCCAAATTTGAGGTTTTGAACAACGGATGAACATTATGGCACATGGGTAGTAACCCATAAGTGCTCCGTTCTTCTTCTAACTCAAGTCTGAGTCTGAAGAAGCTCAGCACAGTACACAGGCTCTGTAGCACCGGCGAGGATCTTGAAATACTTGGGGTATTTTCTAGCTTAAAATTTTGCCTGGGCAGCGCCGTTAAGCTACTCTCTTTTTTATTTCTAACAGCCAAGAGATTTTTTACGTGCGCAACAGTGCACACAGGTGTCCGATCTCACTACCCAGAGACCAGGGGGAATTACTACAAGTCCAAATCCACGTGAAAACATCTCAACCCTTACCGAGGATTGAACCCGGCACCTCTAGCACTCAAAGTGGACACCATGCCCCAAGACCATTCACACCCCCCCCCCCCACCCCCTCGAAAAAAAACTGGTTTCAAATGAATACTCCAAAAAAGCTCGACCTTAAATGCATTATCATAATCATATGTCCTAATTTGCCTTTTCAGGCTATCCTTTGACTAACAGTCGGTAAAGATGGCGGCCGTAAAATATCCTTTCGAGCCACAGTCACGTGTCAATTGCGCAGCTGCTGCTCGTGGGTCCTAGCCATCTAGTTTAGCCCCATTCCACACCGCGTGAGCGGCGTGGGGGACATGTCACGGTAGTCGCCGGCGCAATTGAAACGTGACTGTGGCTCGGAAGGATATTTTGCGGTCGCCATCTTCACCGACCGTTAGTCGGAGGATAGCCCCTTTTCACACAGTCACACTCTCTGATTAAGCCTGTGTTCTTGTCCTGATTATTTATCTGGTCAAGCCATTCAGATTAGTTAGTCAGGTAGTTATTCGCAGTACTAACTTCACGGCAAACGAATCACTCCATAATGGCTCTGTTCCCAATGTATGAGGAAGAAAAAGAATTGCATTGTCTGCACTCAACACTATACATAAATATATATTATAGAATGTGTATAATATTATACAGCTGATGGTACGTTCTCCAATAGTCAAGTCTGCCTTGAATTACTATGATACTTCAAAGAGAGAGAGAGAGAGAGAGAGTAGAGAGAGAGAGAGAGAGTAGAGAGAGGGGGGGGGGGGGATAAGAAAGCAAAAAAAAAAAAATAGAAAGTAAAAAAAGAATCCTATGCATTAATATAAACGCATATTATTCAGAAACAGCATAATACTGGAGTTTATAAAAGAAGAAGTGGATGTAATAGTAGACTGCTTTTGAAGTTTACAAAGCGTCGTGCCCTCAAGAAAGCAACGGCAAACTACTGAACGTAAAATTGTCTTGCAAAACCACAATAATTAAATGCTGTTTGGTTTACTACGTTCTGAATGGGGATATACGTAAACCAACAAACAGCAGTCAAGAGAATCAACTGTACTCACTTGGAACCATCGTGTTTAACCAGCTGGATGTAAAAATATCTCACGGGCATCAAGAAGTCAGCCTGCAGGCCTGGTCCCCAGATCTTGCTCCTTGTTAGGCTGACGCTGCTGCTGCCATCCTCCACAGCATATCCAAAATATCCCAGTGTCGTGGATATCAACAGAAACTTCAGCCACGGCGACATGTCGCTGCACTAGACTGCTTCTATCTAACCAAGGAACCTTGCAGCTAACAGTAACAACAACGTATGAAGTTCTGCCTCCGTCGTCCTGCCATCACTATCTGTGTACTTCACTAAACGTTAACACCGTTTGACCTTGTAGTTCAAGGGTCATAGGTCACACTCATGCCACATAATTTATAACATCTATTTTTTCTCTCTCTCCCACTACCAGTCCTGTCTACCCACTGCATGGCATTATGACAGATTTAAAAAGAGACCAGTTGAAAAGAGGACGGTCGTGGATGGTACTAGGTGATGATACCATAGAGTCATTGGCATTATTTAGCAGGCGTGTTCACTTGAGGATATAGAACCTGATGAGGAATAGGTTCAAATCCCAAAGGATGCTGTACGACCTTTTCTGTTTGCATCCGACAAGACAGAAAATGCATACAGGAAAGTCCAACCGCTGTTGATGCTGAAGTTCAGGCTTTTACTTTCGAGAATTCTCTACAGGGGGTGCTGTCATATACACAGATGGGTCAGTAATTCGCCATGTGAGAAGCGCTTATTCTTTACGGTTCCGGTTGGAGTTATAATTCTGAAGCAAGATTCTGGTGCTGTTGCCTTGACCACAAGTAGCAAGCAGTCCGACTATGGAGGTCATGGCAGTAACCAAAACAATAACATGGCTGGGGACACAGACCTTTTCCCCGGAAGACAGAGAAGGGCTGGGTCCGAAGACAGTGGTTGTAGTTTCTAGAGCGGTCGGGGCTAACAGATCATATTTTTGCCAGGGCATAGTTACTGAAATGGTCCCTATATGAGACGCAATTTTTTTCCCTATCCCGGCTGTAGTCGGGGACCCTAATATAACCTAAGGGTTGAACGGGGTTTCCTTATCTGCATGGTGACACTTTGTGTCACAGGGTATTTATCGCTTGGTAGATGTCTTGTTTGGTTAAATTTCATTAATTCATTAAGCCAGGGCACGCAGGTGTGCAAGGGAATGAGCAAGCTGATCGGCTTGCAGGAAAAGCTACTGTGGAGGGCGGACGAGCAATGGACCATGCTGATATCATAAGACGTTTGCGAGAACCAAGTGATGACTGAATCTGCAGCAATGACCAGACTGCAAGAACAATTTGTTTAGAGGGGAGTGGCCAGACAAGAGCACTATGCAGGAAGCCAAAGAAGAATAAGAAATCAACACAGAACTGGTGTCGTGAGATGCTACACGCTGCGGGATTTACTAAGAAGGGAATCCGAGCACTTTTGGACTGAATGGTTCGATGTGCAATGATGATAATCTGTCGACTAACTAACTGACTGTAACTAACCATTGAGTGCTATATGTAATTTGGTCACGCTGCAGTCTCATTAGATTGCTGAACCATTTCATTCTTTGTCAGCCAATATAACCCAGATATGGTCTTATTTTAATGCATACAAACAAAACTGCCATGGAGAAGGAAATATATGTTAATGAGGAAAGATTGGAAGTGGTGGAAAATTTCGAATATCTTGGGTCACTGGTTACCAACAATGGTGACACAATGAAAGAAATTAAACGGCGACTATCAATTGCTCTTCAAAGACTAAAACAACTGAATAAATTATGGAATTGTACAGATAGAATTACAAAGGTCAGATTTTTAAGAGCATGCATCTTTCCCATTGCAACATACGCCTGTGAGACCTGGACACTTACTAAACAAGCGGAACAGCGCATAAATGCATTTGAATATAAATGTTACAGACAGGTTCTAAGAATATCTTGGGTAAAGAAAAGAACAAATGCATCCATACTTCAAGAGCTGAATATTGAAGACGGTTGGCTAGTAAAGACAATAAAACAAAGAAAATTGAAATATTTTGGTCACTTGAAACGTCATGGAAGTCTAGAGAGAACAATAATGGAGGGGTATATGCCTGGGAAGAGAGGAAGAGGAAGGCCAAGGATAAGATGGGTGCAGGATGTGGCAGATGATCTCCAGATGGGTGTATCAGACGTAGGACATCTTGCTCAGGATAGGAAGGTTTTCCAGAGGGTTGTTATGGCAGCGAGGTTCCGCGAGGGACATGCTACTGAATGAATGAATGGTCTTATTCCAACTTTCTCTCTTGTTGCTGGTATTCGTAACCTTGTCCTTTCTTGTGTTGTTAGTGACCTTACGAAGACAGCCGATTTCACGCGTAGTTATTTTCTGTTCTTGTGTCCTATTGGTTGTCCATGTTTGCCACCAATAGCATAAAGTAGAGCTAAAGATGCTATTTATCATTTGCTGTTTTACTGGAAGGGATACACTGGGTGTCTAAGCAGTGGGGCTTACTGGTAAGTGACAGCAAAAACCTATTGTAATCTGGCTTCTATCTTTCTATCGAATGTACCATTCTCCATAAATATCATCATCATTATCATGTAGCAGGTCCTTTGCAGAACGTCGCTCTCATCACAGTCTGCCTGAAAGAAACTCGGTCTCTCGCCAGTTCTCCCGCCTCATGCATTTTCACATTCAAGGAGTCACCTATATCCTGTGCCCATCTTCGTGTCGGTCGGCCCCTGCCCCTCCTTCCTGGTATCATGCCTTCTGCTATAATTTTGTTCAGTCAGTCGTGGCGATTGATATGACCAAAATATTTCAGCTTTCGAGAAAGGATGCTGTTTATTAACCAATCTTTCTTGATGTTCAGATCTTTTAAGATGTCAATATTTCTCATCTTCTGTGTCCAAGATATTCTGAGAATCTTTCTATAACATTTCAGCTCAAAAGCCCCTATTCTCTTTCTCAAGGACTGAGAGATAGTCCACGACTCACACCCGTATGTAGCCACAAGGAAGATGCATGCTCTCAAAATTCTAATTTTGATCGCCTTGCTGGTGCTTAACCATAGACTTTTAAGGCTGTTCAATCTTTGCATTGCTATGGCCATCCTCCTTTTAATTTCTGTCGAACAGTCTCCATTGTTGTTTATAATAGAGCCTAGATATTCAAAGTTTGTGACATTTTCAATTTCTTCATAATTTATTGTTATTTTTTTGGTGACAGCCAGTTTTATCTGTGGACATTATTTTCGTTTTCTTTAAATTCAAGAACAGAATTTGATATTCACTGTGCTTTTGGACAGACAATATTAAAATTTATATTCCCTTTACGCTGTTCTAAAGGAGCTCCGTAAATATACTTCCTAGATATTTGAATTCTTGTACTTGTTCGATTGCAGCACCGCTAACATGAACATTAATTACTTAGCTCATTGCAATTTTGTAAATAGATAAGGCGGGAGGGACCTCAACCCAGTTATAAACGTTCAGGGATTTCAAGGAGGCCTAAGTCTTGTTTAAATGTGCAACAGTAATAACAATATTTTATGTGGCTACTGGCAAATAATTATAATAATATCCATGAAATTATATAAGGGGAAAGGAGGCCTCAGTCCACCCCAAAAAATATGATAGGGGGCCTCAAATGGACTGAGCCGCCCTGCCCCCGGTTCCAGCACCCTTGCTGCTGCTGCTGCTGATACTACTACTACTACTACTACTACTACAACTGCTACTACTTCTGCTGCTGCTATTACTACTACTACTACTACTACTACTACTACTACAACTGCTACTACTTCTGCTGCTGCTATTACTACTACTAATATTACTACTACTACTACTACTACTATACTACTACTACTACTACTACTACTACTACTACTACTACTACTACTACTACTACTACTACTACTACTACTACTACTACTACTTGACAGCACTTTGACAACATATCTGGCAGGATTTCTGACAACCGTCCGCCGTCTGCTGGAACAGACGCCCTGGGCGACACCAAGATGGCGAACACGGTACTGAAATCAGGCACCTTTGAAATACTGGTCCGGCAACAGTGGTATTTTGTTAATGGCTCACTGAAAGAAGAATGTTTGGTTCTGACACTCAACGAGAGCCCTGACCAAAACAGTATTCTAAATGGATCAATAGCAGACATTCCTGAGGGTATCATAGGACAGAAACGTTGCGTCAAGGTAAACAATCTTAAAAAAAAAAATAAGAATAATAAAGTAAGTATGTTTTTACATGTCATCTCCACAAAAACCTACATATCTCAGCTCAGAAATGTCATAAAGCCTAAATGAGGTACCGTTGGAAAGAGATTGTTTACAGCTATCTAACTGTGCTGGTTTTATTGGTGTAGATTATTTCAGTTGTAAATTGTTGATATTGTTTGTTGTCAGTGATCATGTTAGTTACTAGTCGGTAGCATGTCCTTTGCAGAACCTTGCTCCCATAATAACCCTCCGGAAAACTTCTCAGTCACAAGCAAGATGTCCCGCGTCCGATACACCCATCTGAAGATAATTTGCCACATTCTGCACCCATCTTCTCTTTAGCCGTCCTCTTCTTGTTCTCTCTAAACTTTCACGACGTTTCAAGTGACCAGAATGTTTACATTTTCTGTGTTTTATCATCTTTAATAGCCAACTTTCTTCTGTTCAGTTCCTCAAGTATGGATGCATTTGTTCTTTTCCTAACCCATGTTATTCTAAAAACCCGTCTAAAACATTTGTATTCAAAAGCATTTATGCCCTATTCAGCTTGTTTAGTAAGTGTCAAGGTCTCACAGGCGTATGTTGCAATGGGAAAGATGCATGCTGTCATAAATCTAATTTTTGTAGTTCTGTCTGTCCCACTCCATAATTTATTCAGTTGTTTTAGCCTTTAAAGAGCAATTGATAGTCGTTGTTTAATTTCTTTCATTGTGTCACCATTGTTGGTAATCAGTGAGCCAAGATAACAGGCACTTATGTTACCAGGCATCGGAAATTAGTGTAGGCCAGCCATTGACCAGCAAAGTAAAGGGCTTTTTTCCACGCCATTAGGCATATAGGGCTAAACCTAAATTTTATATACTTATCGGCACTTGATGAGTGATGTAGTCAACATCACGCTGGCTGCCTTACTCCCCCCCCCCCCCCCCCCCCCCCCCCCCTAGGCTTCATCAGGACCTTGCAGACGAGCGTCTAGCCGCTGCACCACGGCAGCTCCCATTAGGTCCAATTCAGCCTGATGATAAGCTATATTCCAGTTGTCTGCACAATCATCATCATCTTCCTGTTGTGCCAGTATAGGTGACATACGGCTCAGTCTTCCATTCTGTTATACTGTTCCGTCATCTCAGTGTCATGGAATGCTAGCAACCTTTGCCTCTCTCTACAGCAGTGACTCTCAACCTTTGCCTCTCTCTACAGCAGTAACTCTCAACCTTTGCCTCTCTCTACAGCAGTGACTCTCAACCTTTGCCTGTCTCTACAGCAGTGACTCTCAACCTTTGCCTCTCTGTACAGCAGTGACTCATAACCTTTGCCTCTCTCTACATCAGTGACTCTCAACCTTTGCCTCTCTCTACAGCAGTGACTCATAACCTTTGCCTCTCTCTACAGCAGTGACTCTCAACCTTTGCCTCTCTGTACAGCAGTGACTCATAACCTTTGCCTCTCTCTACAGCAGTAACTCTCAACCTTTGCCTCTCTCTACAGCAGTGACTCTCAACCTTTGCCTCTCTCTACATCAGTGACTCTCAACCTTTGCCTGTCTCTACAGCAGTGACTCTCAACCTTTGCCTCTCTCTACAGCAGTGACTCTCAACCTTTGCCTCTCTCTACAGCAGTAACTCTCAACCTTTGCCTCTCTCTACATCAGTGACTCTCAACCTTTGCCTCTCTCTACAGCAGTAACTCTCAACCTTTGCCTCTCTCTACAGCAGTGCCTCTCACCTTATCATAACATGGCTGACTGCCCAGATGACTTGATGCCAGAGAGCTATCACCATGGTCACCTTATCATAAATTGGTTGACTGCCAAGATGACTTGATGCCAGAGAGCCATCACCATGGTCACCTTATCATAAATTGGTTGACTGCCCAGATGACTTGGTCATAGAGAGCCTTCATCATGATCACCTTATCATAACTTGGCTGACTGCTCAGATGACTTGATGCCAGAGAGCCATCACCATGGTCACCTTATCATAACTTGGCTGACTGCTCAGATGACTTGATGCCAGAGAGCCATCACCATGGTCACCTTATCATAACTTGGCTGACTGCACATATGAGTGGCAGCAACCAGTCTTTCAGCCTGCTGCCTTCCCTATCCAGCCTAATATTGTCAGACAGTTCACAATTTACTCCCAACTATTGTTCCGTAAAATAAAAGCCATTTCACTCATAACATGCCAGTATCTTTTTTCAGTGGCACACTCTCTGAGTCTACAACAATACATGTGGTACCCCCCCCCCCCCCTCTCCCCCCCCCCCCCCCCCCCATGTCTTCTGACATTCTCTCAATACGCCCCAACTGTCTTAGTCTATTAGCTCTCATGATGCCAGTGACCAATGGTGATTTAAATATATTATGAATTTTTTGTTGCTTTTCACTCTCTATTCCCCACTGTTTGCATTGGTCCAAAGATTCGTTGTAAGACTGTATTTACAAATTTGTAATAAGGATTTATCTCTTTTAGTTGTGCTCCAAGTTTCAGAGTTATATAAAACAACTGGTCTTATCAGTTTTTTAATACATTTTGATCTTGGTGTTATGAGACAGAGACTGTTACTGCTTCACCACATTTAGAACCTGTCTTCTTTGCCTTCAGGTAATCAAAGATGAACAAAATGGTTTGGGTATTAGCATCAAAGGAGGAAGAGAAAACCGCATGCCTATCCTGATCACCAAAATTTATAAGAACACAGCGGCTGACAAGACAGACCGACTTTATGTTGGAGATGCTATTCTGTCAGTTAATGGTGAGGAGTTGAGGGATGCAACCCACGAAGATGCAGTTCGAGCACTGAAGAAGGCTGGGAAAGTTGTTGAATTGCAAGGTAAATGGTATTACTTTTACAACATATCTTCTTCTTCACTGTTCTCCGGCTGAACACTCCGGCTGAAAGTTTTGATTAATCGTCTACTCCTGGACTTTGGTCTTGACCCACAACTTGAGTTTAGTGTGCATATCCATTTTACAGATCTTGCTTATCTGTATCCATACTGTTGGTTCCTGCCACTCAGGCAGATGCACTCCAACTCTGAAAGAATCACCCCTAAATAGTCACCTCCTATGACATGCATTTTTTTAGGCAGCATTAGGTCTTTTCTTTGTTCTCTAAAATAGAACTCTGAAATCCACACGGGGATTACAACATATAGCTCAACAATATATGTACCATAACATGATATCAAAATAAAGGAGAAGAAGAACTAATCAGATTCATATTATCCTCCCCCTGTGTGTCCTGGGGCCCCAATATGATGGGAGTGAAAGAATAGACCCACTGCTCCCTAACAAGCACGTAGACAGAGTCTACTCATTAGGTAAGTTTTCTTTGAAGTTGGAGTGCATCAGCCTGAGAGGCGAGGAACCAACAGTCTGCAAACAGGTAGGCCAGATCTTTGCACACAAGACTCAGATTCTGGAACAAGACTAGAGACGAGAAGTGGATGAGCAACCAGAACTTTCCACCGGTGTTTACAGTCTGTGAAGGCAGAGAAGAAGAAGCAGGAGCTTCACATGATCACAATCATGAACAACAAGTGAACTTTGCATCTAATGGAAGTAAATCACGGACAGTTGATAAATTAGTGAAAACTCATGTGGAAGTTGTGGAGATATAGTTTTATAGATGAATGATGAGAAAACCCTGGACAGATAAAAAGTGTAATGATGATGTCTTGAAATAAATTGACTCACAAAGAGAACTGATTGCCCAGATCAGAAAGAAACAATCTACATTCTTTGGTCATGTGATAAAACGGTAAAAACTGGAGTACATCAGGACAATAGGAAAGTTAGAGGGGAGGAGAGGCAGAGGGAGACTGAGAGAAAAGATGCTGGACAGTTTAACACCCTTGGCATGGAAGACCATCTGTGTTGGTGTGGATTGAAAGTACTAGAGACAAAAAGTTGTAGATAGACATGACTACCAACGCCATGTGGCATAGACTTTAAGAAGAAGAAATCAACATTATCAACAGAAAGCTAGTCTTTTACAGAACATTGCTGCTATTACAGCACATCTTTAAAAGGCTTGGTTCCTCGCCAGCTCTCCTGCCTCATGTGGTTGCCTGCTCAAGGTGTCTCATGTCCTGTACCCACCTTCTTACTAGTTCACCTCTACCTCTCTTACATGGTACTGCACCCTCTGTTCCTATTCTTTCCAAGCCAATGCAGTGTTTGATGTGACTCAAATATGTCATTTTCTGAGACAAGATTATGTTTACGAGATAATTTCTTTTGATGTTCAGATCTTTCAGTATGTCATTATTTCTTTTCTTCTTGGTCCCTGGTATTATGCAAATATTTTTGTAACATTTCACACTGAAGTTTAATTAGTAAAGTGAAAGAGCAGCAGCACTTTTGTGACAACTACCAGTTGTCTCACAGTAGAGGAGCTGGTAGAAAGTCCTGAGAATTGAAGACTTTGTAATTATATTCCTTATGTTCTTCTTAGACGTAATTTTTTTTTTTATTTGAAGCCCCACTCTGGCTTTTGCCAGGGGCCGCAATATAGGCAAGCCATCAATATGGCCAATTGTCTGAACGTGGTTTCTGGGACCTCTCCACGGTGATCCTCATCCGCATGGTGGCACTTTGTGTCATCGGGTGTTTATCTCTTGTGTGATGTCCTGGTGGGGTAGAAAGTCAGTCAGACTTTGTAAGAGATACAAACAAATGGATGAGCCAACATCATACTGGTATGGTCAGCCATTATATACGTTCATTCATTCATTTATTCATTCATTCATTCATTCATTCATTCATTCATTCATTCATTCATTCATTCATTCATTCATTCATTCATTGTCCTGCTGAGCCATTGTACGTCACACAGGGCTGGCAGTTTATTCCTCCATTCCCTTCTGTCCAAGATTGCCAAGATTATTATGGCCTGGAGAGAATGAGGCACCTGGGTGTAACCAGAGGGTTTGGTCGGCTTACTGCACTCAGGGGAAAGGCAAGACAGGCATATAACCAAATTGTGACCAGTACCATCAGTATTGGAACTCTGCACTGGCTGCTGAAGATGAGGATGGAGCATGTATGGGAATGCCCTGAGTGCTGTGATGTCAGTTCTTGACTCAACTCAAATCCCTTCTGTCCTGTAAAATCACATTGATGTCTTGGATGGAATCCAGTCTAGCAGCTGTCTCTTGCTTCTCTCATCAACCTTCATCTTAGGGTTTCTCTTGGACATCCTCATTTCCTCTGTTTCCCATTTCAGTGCCTGTCAAGTGATTATCTACTCATTTCTTCTCACGATGTGTCCAATACATCACCATTTTCTCTGTCTTATAACTGTTGTGGTTGCCAAGATATTTCTCTTATTTCTTCTCCCTGCACGAATTCATTCAATTTTATGGTCAACATTTTCCTGAGGCATATGTTTTAAAATGCATTCAACTTTTGTTGCATTTCTTTAGTTGTTCTCCAATTATGCTTCGATGCATTCCCAAGAGGATCTGCGCATCTAAGGTCTTGTCAGTGATGGGGCATTGGTGGCATGTGATTACATTTGTTTTCTTATTTAACTCTTTAAGTCCCAAGAAACGCATGATGTGCCGATTTTATGACTCTCTTTACTACCCCTTGGCCTGTGATGCTAAACCCCCTGGGACTCAAAGAGTTAAGAGGTAATTCAGTAACCTTTACATGATGTCACAAACCAATCCAGGAACTTTACTAGGTAACTGCAGATTCAGTAATTTGTCATTGCTTTGTCACTGGTAATGTTCAGATCATTGTCAAAATCAACACAAAATGATCTGCTGCCAAAATGCTTCAGACCTGATATTTCAGAATTATAATTCTACGTTAATAATCCCTAAGCCACAGAGGTCAAATATTTTAAAAGGGCATTAAAAGATGTTATGTTATTGACATGTGTAAATGATGAAATTTCATGTTTACAATCTTCACAGTGAAATTCTTGAAAGAAGTGACACCTTACTTCAAAAAACTATCACCTCTAAATGACATAGAATGGGGTTCTCAAGATTTGTCCAGAAAAGAAAGCGTGAAAGCAAATGTATCAGAGACTAAAAACACTCTCTTTAAAACTGTGCTACCTGTGCCAGGATCTGACCTTCCCTGACTCTCAACGAAGAACGTTAGAGTTACACTCCCCTGACGGCAAAGGTTCTTGTGTTCTCCGCTTCCCTGACCCAGCAACTGCCGCAGACTGGGCCAGTGCCATTCATGCAAACATGATGGCTCTCACCAAACAGGCAATTCAAGAGGCCAACAGAATGCTCAGCTCTTCGGGAAACCAGCACGATGTCAGGCACATGGGGTGGCTGTCCAGACAGGTGAGAGTTTTCTCTGGTCTCTGCGTAACTGACTCACAGAGTGTCCTTTACATAATTGCTTGCATCTCTTGATAAGACTAGCATGCTTCACAAAATATCAATGAATATCTTGCGCTCAGAGTTACATGTGGGGGCTGCATGGTCTCGAGGCATGGTGTCCGCCTCGATTGCTAGAGGTTCCTGGTTCAATCCCCGGTAAGGGCTGGGATTTATCTACATGGACTTGGACTTCTAGTAATTCCCCCTGGTCTCTGGGTAGTGAGATCGGATGCCCGTGTGCATTGTTGCGCACTTTTAAAAATCCCTTGGCAGTTGCAAATGGACAAGAGTAGCCTAATGGCGCTGCCCGGGCAAAATTTGGAGTTAAAAATCTACCTCAAGTGTTTCAGGATCCTCGCCGGTGCTATAGAGCCTTTGCTGAGCTTCTTCGGTCTTAAGTTAGAAGAAGAACGGAGCACTTATGGGTTATTACCCGTGTGCCTTGATGATGATCTGTTGTTCACACCTTAAACCTCAGAGTTGCTTGCATCTCTTGATAAGACATAGATAAGAAGCATATTGTAGGTTATTTGCCTAGTATGTTCGGGTGTGTGGTTATAGGCAGGCTGATAGATTAGATGCTGCCCCCATGTGGGCAATGAGCTACTTTTTGATACAGCAAATTGGGTGAAAGCTCTTAGAACCAGGGACCCAGACCTCCTGGTGAGTCAGAGTGCTTGGAGGGCAACATCTGACAGTCCCTGACTGACAGAGGACTGGAGTGTTGAATTAAGAATCGACATCACATCACTTGGGACACCCCCATTCTTCAGCAGCAAGCCAAAGAGTTAAAATTCCGATGGTACCAGTAACTGTCTGATTACATACTCGTCTCGCCTTTCCCCTGAGTGTCGATTGTCGTCCTGATCCCCTTGTAACTCCTCGCAGTGCCATTCTTCTCAGACCGTAATGATCTGTCTGTTCACTCACTCCCATACGGCCCTCGCAACATCCAGCATGTTATACATCAGGACTGGAATGGAACAAAGTTAGAAAAAAACCGCAGATAGAGAAGTCTGGTGATCTCTTTGGCAGAACTCTACACCCTAAGTAGAAGAGGAGTTGAGTCAAGATTTGACATCACAGCACTCAGGGCATGCCCATGTGCGCTCCATCCTCATCTTCAGCAGCCAGCACAGAGTTCCAATACTGATGGTACCAGTCACAATCTGGTTATTTGTTCATCTTGCCTTTCCTCTGAAGTGAGCCGGCCAGACCCTCTGGTTACACCCAGGTGCCTCATTCTCACCAGGCTATAATAATCTTCTCTCTACTGATTTCATTGCTTGTTTCCAAAGGGCTTTGACCACATCTGTTTTGTCATGTATCAATTCACCACCCAGTGGGCAGATCCAGCCAGTCTGTCTGCCTGTAAGTAGAAGAGGAGCAACTAAGTAAAGTAATTTTGTTTCAGTAAACTCATTTTTTATTCTTCCAAAATTTGAGCAAGGTTCCGTGTATATGTAAAAACATAAGTTGAGTAAAACGGTATTGACACTTGTATTTGTCTACCATCAGCTGACAGGTGACCAAACAACCCCAGTGTGGAAGCCTGTCTTCATGGCCCTGCTGGACAATGACATTGTACTCTACAACTCTGCACCTTTGAGCAAAGAGGGCTGGGCCACACCTTCACAGTGCATTGCTTTACTGGCATCACGGTCAGTAACAAGGAAGCTTTTCTTCTTCTTGTGTTTGTGTTTTTTTTAATCTTTAAAGGAAAAGGGAAAGGTAATCCTAAACCTGTTGCCTGTTGAATTAGGAATCTATATCACAGCACTTAGGACACCCCCATAAGCGCTCCAACTCCATCTTCAGCAGCAGGCAAAGAGTTAAAATTCCAATGGTGCCAGTAACTGCCTGTTTATATATCCATCTCACCTTTCCCCTGAGTGTCGAGGGTCAGCCAGTTCCCCTTGTAACTCCTCGCAGTGCCATTCTTCTCAGACCGTAATGATCTGTCTGTTCCTCTGCACTGTTCACTTGCTTACAAAGGGCCCTCACAACATCCAGCTTGCCATACATCAGTCCACCACCAAGTGGTGCAGAGCCAGCCAGTTCCTAAACCAGTTACTGCCATTGGAGTTTGAAGCATTAGGCCTTCACATATTCAAGGTCATGGCAAACAATACTTAGTCACCAGTTCCCTTTCTCCACCTTTCAGTCCCAAACAGTTTCCAAATCTTTGCAGCAGTAAACTTGATTAACTTGTTCATACAGACAGATATACTTTACATGATTTTATTATGTGATGAATAATAGAATCATAATAACAGGCAGCGCAAGATGAACTTCTGGTAATTTTTATTTATTTACGGAACAGTTGTTAAAAACTTTGAGAGCATGCATCTTCCCTGAAGCAACATACGGATGTGAGTCATGGACTATCTCCCATCTTCCCTGTAGTAACATACGGATGTGAGTCATGGACTATCTGCAATTTCTAAATAGAGAAAGTAGGGACTTTTGAACGGAAATGCTATAGAAAGATTCTCAGAATACCGTGGAGAAAGTAGAGACGAAATATTGACATTTTAAACGATCTAAACATCAAGGAAGATAAACAGTGTCTTGTCTCGAAAGCTGAAATATGTTGGTCATATCAAGCGTCATAGCGGATTAGGACAAAAAATAGCAGAAGGCATGGCACCAGGAAGGAGGGCAGGGGCCGACCAACACAGATGATGGGCACATGAAATAAGGGACTCCTTGAAATGAAAGTACTTGAGGTGGGAGAACTGGCGAGAGACTGAGTTTCTTTCAGGCAGACCGTGATGAGAGCAACGTTGTGCAAAGGACCGGCGGCTTCATGATGATGATGTTGATATAAGGCAAGAAGATTTAATTCATTGCATTCATGTTTCATCCTGTATGACTCCACAGAGAGGCTGGTCACCTGTGAGAGTATTGCACAAAGAACAAACTCTGTAGCTCCAGTTTCTACCCCCTGGGATCTCTGAAATACCTTTAACTTGCAAACTGAAGGTTTGAGTGAGAAATAAAACCCAGAGCCTTTTAGAGCACATAGAAAAAGGCCTAACCACTTTACCATGAAGGACTCTTGAAGAATTGTAAATGCATACAAAATCAGAAAAAACAAGAAGCGCTATAAGGTATGGCCACCTTAACTCTTTGAGTCCCAGGGAACGTATCATACGTTCATAGGTTCTTACCTAGAAGCCCAATGAATGCATGATGTGTTGATTTTAGTCTCTCTTTACTACCCATTGGGCCTGTGATGCTAAACCCCCTGGGACTCAAATAGTTAATGGCATTACTGTTTGACAGTTTCTATTGTATGTAGTTGTTTGTTTTCAGATTTGTGCACTTTGGCAACAAGAACCGCTGTGTTGGTGCCGATTACTTTACCTTTGGAATTAGATCAGGAACACATAATGGGGTGGAAGTCAACATCTTCCGGGTAGAGAGCCTGCATGATTTAAATGTGTGGTCAAGAGCTTTAAACCAAGGGTCACTTGAAACTGCTGTCTTGACGAAGCAAGTATCTTATTGTAAGTTTTAACAGCTGTGCATTTGTTGATGCTTATATTCATCATATTGTACATTTTAAGTTTGTTACATTCTGTAAAATATACTTTTATTTTGGGAGCTGCCGTGGTGTAGCGGCTAGATGCTCGCCTACTTGTCTGAAGGTTGTGGGTTCAGGTCCTAATGGAGTGGAGCTGGACTTTGTTTTTCTTCAAAAATTGGCTCCCTGGTGGACTCGGCTTTACATGGGTAGCAGGTCAAGTCCTGAGTAGTAAAGATGTTGACCTCATCACTTACTGAGTGACAGTTGGTCTATAATATATAGGTCCAGCCCTATAGGTCCAGTACACCTAAAGGCCTGGAAAAGGGCCCTTTTACTTTACTTACTGTCATTTCTCCTTTGAAGTTTCTTATTGATAAATGTTTCTTCTCTCAGCTGAATACACAAGCTTATGAGCGTGAAAGCTATAGTAATATGTCTCCTCTTCTTTGTCTGCTTTGTGTTTTTAGTCTCAGAACTGGAGCATAGACCTTGACCATGTCCATGTTGAACCTTGCGTACACTTGTTCATTATTGGTTGATTTTACAGCTGGAGTTGTTTAGGTCGTGACCTACCCCCCCCCCCCCCCCCCCCCCCCCCCCCCCCTTTATGTAGGTTACAGTCGCTTTGTGTGATGTCCTGGTGGGGTAGAACTTACATACATACACACATACATACATACATACATACATACATACATACATACATACATACATACATACATACATACATACATACATACATACACACACACACACACACATACACGCATACACATACACATACACACATACACACACATACACACATACACACATACATACATACACACGTACACACACACACACACACATACATACACACATACATACATACATACATACATACATACATACATACATACATACATACATACATACATACATACATACACACACACACACACACACACACACACACATACATACATACATACATACATACATACATACATACATACATACACACACACACACATACACACACACACACACACACACATACACACATACATACACACATACACACATACATACATACACACATACATACACACACACACACATACATACATACATACATACATACATACATACATACATACATACATACATACATACATACATACATACATACATACATACATACATACATACATACATACATACATACATACATACATACATACATACATACACACATACATACATACACACATACACACATACACACACACATACATACATACATACATACACACATACACAGATACACACACACACAAATACACACACACACACATACACACATACATACATACATACATACATACATACATACATACATACATACATACATACATACATACATACATACATACATACGTACGTACGTACGTACGTACATACATACATACATACATACAAACACCAAAAGAATTTTTATTAATCACATAAGAAGTATGTTTCACCTGTGTCTAAGAGAGATGAGAAACTGTTTAAATGTTTCACCCGTGTTTGAGAGAGATGAGAAACTGTTTCAATGTTTCACCCGTGTTTGAGAGAGATGAGAAACTGTTTCAATGTTTAACCCGTGTTTGAGAGAGATGAGAAACTGTTTCAATGTTTAACCCGTGTTTGAGAGAGATGAGAAACTGTTTCAATATTTCACCCGTGTTTGAGAGAGATGAGAAACTGTTTCACTAAACATAAATCAATTAATGGTCTGGGTTCAATTAGCAGCGGAGGCTGAATTCAGAATTTTGAATTAGGAATCAACATCACAGCACTTGTGACATAAGCGCTGCCCCCCATCTTCAGCAGTAAGTGAAGAGTTCCGATTCCAGCAATAATATTCTCTAGCACCTTGCCAAAAGTATTTTGTAGAGTGATGATCCTGAAACCGCTGAGTCTGGAATGATCTTTGCCTGGTTTTAAAAGTGGGATACTGAAGCTGTTCTGATGCTCTGGTTGAAGTTAAAAAACCAATCTTCCACAAGTCTTCATCACTCGTGCTCTTCTTGTGTTCATATCTGACTCCGTCTGGCCCTGGCGCAGTATCCTTTGCTTTTTTCAATACATGTTGTATGTTCTCCACCCTAATGATATCCTGAAAATACTTAATATTTATAGTATTTTGCAGATTATCTCTAACTGTCATTATGATCAATTTGGGCTATCAATCTCTACAAAAATGCTTCCCCTTTCTCTTTGTCTGTTGTTATTGGCCAATCATTATCTGTGTATATAATGCCTGCCATGATAGGCCGATCCGTTCTTTGCGTCTGTCTGTGAAGTTTCTTAAACCTACCCAGAGATTTCCCCTCCAATTTCGCTCATAAAATGTTCTCATTTCGCCTTTTTTCATCTACTGCACAACTCTTCTACCCTTTTCTTTCTAACTCTGTCTAGCTTCTATACACCATCTAGAAGTATCCTGTGAGGTGCTTTTGCACTTTCTACAATTGCTTAACTGCTGCTCGCTTTGCTCTCCATGCCTCTTCTTCCTCTTGGGTCCACCATGGAGGCTGCCCAATAGCAAAGATGGTAGTTCTGCTGCATACTTTAGAAATCAAGACTGCACATGGCATATGGTCACTCCCATGATCGCCTAGGACACTCCATTTTGTGTCCAGCAAGGCTGACTAGGTAACAAAAGCCAAATCACTGGGCGTCTGCAATACCAGGTCTCATTGCCATTCTTATAGGCCTGCCGTCATTTATACAGACTACGTCTGCATCCACCACAGCCTCTGCTAAAGCATTTCCTTGCCTATTTTCCCCACTACTGTCACATAATCTGAAGCCTATTACCAGGGATTTCCTCCAACTCTTTGAGCCAGTTCCAATGTTCCTTTGTGACAAGAGAGTCAGCCACAGCGTAAACATTTACTATATTCCAGGTTGTTCCCCTACTATCTATCTGTATACCCTGAACCTTTAGTGTACTATAATTCCATTGGCTCAGGTCAAGAACCGCATTTTTCACCACGCCTTCCCTGTCCGGTAGGATTTATATAAATAATGTATCCAGGACACTCATACCTATCTATGTTTAATTCCTGCAGCATAATGATATCAAAGTCATAAATCAATCTCTCCAGTACAGGTCCTCTCTGCTGGGCACTACGACAATTCCAGTAATCCACTCTAATATGCTTTAATCCCAGATGCTTCATTTTTGGCCTGACTCTCCGGGCTCCAGCTCTTCTATTTCTGTGCCTTCTTGTCTTCTCCTCTTCCCACTCTCTCCGTTGCCACCTGAAGATGGTATCAAGCACAGAGCACGCACTCTGTAGCTCGGACAATGATTCTTTTTTTTTAATTAATAAGTGCAAAATCCATATAAAATATTCTTTCAGTGCAGGAAGTAAACTGTCACCCTGATATTGCCTGCTTGCTAGGGAAGAGGGGGGGGGGGGGGGGGGGAATGTTCTGACGACGGAGTCCATACGCCTAGCGTATTCAGATAAATACAAGATTCAGATAAGTACAGCTCTGGGGTTCACATAGCCTCTAAAAACATGGAAACCAGACAGTGATCACAAATGTTTACCGTTTAACTTTAGGTGATACCCTGAGCAGGTATGACCAAGTCCATACTCCTAGCATATTTAGATAAGTACAGGATTCAGCTACAGAGTTACATGCTGATGGGGACACAAGCGGACAGTTTCTTATCAGCTGTTCGTACTGGTGACAGAGCACTTATGGTTTAAAACTGTGTGCAGTGACGCTGATTCATATCTCCCGACTTGACCTTTTATAGCTGACTTTGCCATTTGATGAGACACTGTAAAAATAGTCTTGTGCAGTATTAAAGAAAACATAAAATAAATATGTCAGGTTGTTGCTTTATGCTGTTGCTTTATGTTGTTGCTTTATGCTGTTTCTCCTGCAGCTGTGACATGGAAGAACAAGAAAGCTAAGCTAACCGTGCACTTTGACAAAGGGTTTATACTCTGGGAGGACAGTGTGGCAGCAGATGGACCTGGAGAAGTTCTGTGGGCACATCCCTTTGAGGACCTCATCTCATCTTCTGATGATGGTCAGAGACTCTTGTGGCTGGATTTTGTTGATGTTGGTGAACAGGTGAGTTGCATCGCTGATGTTGATGTAATGCAGATTTTCCCATTAAATTTCCCTCAAATTTGTCCTGGAGGTCTAAGAACAAATCTAAGGGGTCCTAACTCTAAACTGCAATCTAATTTGCAATTCTTGTATTTATAAATTGGAAGCCGCCATAGTCTAGAGCAGGGCTATTCAACTAAGTTGACTCAGGGGCCAAAATGTTCAAAAATTGGGCCAGAAGCCTCAGCCCCAGCATAGAAAGACCATAAATACAATACATCTAGCAGTGATCCGCGGGCCACTTGCTAGGCCTTGGCAGGCCAGATTTGGCCCGTGGGCCGCCAGTTGAATAGCCATAATCTAGTGGCTAGATGCACACCAGCGAGCAAGAAATTCATGGGTTCTTCTTATGTTCACTTTCTAATTTACACCGACAAAGTTCTTTTGATTAACATGACTATTTTTAGGAGCTCTCCTTTAATTGCTTCATGCGTTTTAAATCCACATAGAGCCGGCTTTTTACAAAAATAACCTTGGTTCCCACTTGAATCCAGCCTGAAATGGTTGTCAAGCAAATTCCTGGGAAATAAAAATGACACCATCTTTATGTTAACCACATTACCACCACCCCCCCCCCCCCCTCACCCACAGTGCCGAAATTGGTCTACAAAATATATGTATAGCACTATGTGTCCATAATGCAGAAGACGGTGAAACGGTCGTTTTAATATTTTTTAATTATAGTACATTCTTTACTGTGAATATTGAGCTGATTCAAGAACTTTTACAGCACTGGGAGACATTCCATAAGCGTTCATTTCCATCTTCAGCAGTCAGCGTAGATTTCTAGTAATAAGGTTAGCAGTCTGATTATATGTCTGTCTTGCCTGTTCTGTGAGCGTCGAGTATCGGCCAGATCTTCCTGTCACTCCTCACTGCATCACTCTCACCAGACTATGATGATCAATTTGCTCCTCCAAATTGCACTTGTGCTCTCATAAGGCTTTTACCACATCTCCTTTATCTGCCACCTGTTCATTTCCCAACACACTGGCATTCCAGTAGGACCAGTAGAAAGTATGGGCTCAGTTACAAAACATGAGAGTTGCCTGCAGGTCTGGGGTAAGTGGAAACCAGTGGTGTAGATCAGTAAATGAGTCTCACATTTCTGATGTTGATAATGAACATGGGAGTTATCAAGGTGAACAGGTGAGTGATAATTCTGTTCTGTAGGTGAACAAGCCAGTCATATCTTTGTTGTTGTTGACTCAAATGAAACTGTTATTAACCCTGTCGTCCAGAAAAGCCACAAAAACAACACTTCTGTTTAGGTCCAGTGCCCTGTCAGTGTTGCTTTACCTGCATTGCTATAGTGGCCTGTTCATGAGAAGCCTAGCTATTAGCAATGGAGTAGGAAATGGTTATATTTACTAAAATGAGCATGGGGGGGGGGGGGGGGGGAGTGTCCTTGCAAACAGTGGCTTTTTTAATCGAAATTTCCCACTAGTCTTAGTGGTTGTCCAGCAACCTGGTTACAGGGTCAAGTATGGGTCATCATATAATTTGTTTTGTTTTTTTTTTTAGAGATCAGAGAGAGTTAAGCCAGTTAATTCTCAGCTGGCTTTGTGTGTATTGATTACTTCCCTTGTTACGCCTGGAACGATTTATCTATTTACTCAGAAAGTTTTTGTGTGTGTGTGTGGGTAGCCTGGGTAAACATGAAAATTTTTTTAATAACTGCCAAATTAATCAGGGGCTGAGTGGTCTCAAGGCATGGTGTCTGCCTCGAGTGCTGGAGTGTTGGGTTCAGGCCCCGGTGAAGGTTGTAATTTAGTCATGTGGACTTCCAGTAATTTCCCCTGCCTCTGGGTAGTAAGATCGGGCGCCTGTATGTATTGTTGCACATGTTACAAAAATCCCTTGGCAGTTGGAAATCAAAAAGAATAGCCTAACGGCACTGCCCGGGATTGTGAGTTTCAAAATCTACCCAAAAGTAGTTCAGGATACTCGCAGGTGCTACAGAGTTCGTGCACTCTGCTGAGACTCTTCAGATTCAGGGTTGAGTTAGAAGTAGAATGGAGCACTTATGGGTTACTGCCTTTGTGCTTTGATGTTGATACATTGTTCAAACTATCAAACCAGTAAAACATCTAGCCTATTAATTAATACATTTTGTTTAGGGAGCTCCTGAAAAAATGTTGGGTTTGTTTTTCTTGGGTTTTGGCTGTGTTTGATGCATTATAAGAGTTCATTGGCTGGGCAGTAGATGACTTTGTCACCTGTAGGGACAGCATTTGGATGTGTCTCCCTTGATCGCTTCAACATTGCGGGAGTCCTTTTCAGGGCTACTAGGTGGCAAGCAGTGCTAAGCCGTTTTATACAGTGCACATAACCTAGCATGAGAATGGGGGTGGAGGCAGTAACTGCAGCTCTCCGGTGGCTAGAGTGTTACACATGTCGTAATTGTAACAGACTCTGAAAGCATGCTGAGAAAGGTGAAGACAGGGATGCTTTAAGCAGAATGGCAAGCTTCACTGTGAAGGTTACGGGTAGTGAGCATACGTTGGATCTTTTCTCGAGTTATGTTGGCGTGGTGGGTAATGAACAGGCAGACAGATTGGCTGGATCTGCACCTCTGGATGCATTGATACATGACAAGGCAGGTGTGGTTAAGGCCCTTAGGGAACAAGCAACGGAATCAGTGGAAAAACAAGATTATTATGACCTGGAGAGAATAAGGCATCTGGCTGTAACCAAAGGGTCTGGCGGGCTCACTACACTCAGAGAAAAGGCAAGATGGACGTATAACCAGATTATGACTGGTACCATCAGTACTGGAACTCAGCGCTGGCTGCTGAAGATGAGGTGGGAATGCCACGAGTGCTGTGATGTCAATTCTTGACTTAACTCAACTCAACCTAGTCACAATTATAACCTAAAGCTCCCCCTTTAGGGATGCTGGTCGAACATCGTGATTTTTCATATATTTTCGCAAAGCAAGCTAAGGCAAGCCCTTTAAGCGTTGAGTTAGTGCTGTGATATTATAAAGTATAAGTGGGAAACAATCTTGATTTGTCTATTTCTGACATTATCTACAGGAACTGGATTTCAGCATGTGTCCCAAGCCTGTTGTCTTCACCATACACACGTTCCTGTCTGCTAAAGTCAGTCGGATGGGGCTTCTTCCCTGAGACAATCTGCTTGTACATTTAGGATGTCCTCTTGGGAGTTCAACTGCCACTGTAGTCATTTATGGTTTGTGAACATGCTGAGCCCTTGAAGGATGTGTATTTTTGCCTATGCTTGGCTCAGGACTATCTGTTCTTATAGAAGCTGAATAGTTAGTTTTTTTTTTACATATTGTTAAACAGTATTGTAATAGAAATTTAGATTAAATTTAACTAAGATCAATTGAAACAGAAAGTTGAATGCAGTTAACAAGCCACCATCAGTGGCATGGTAGTTCAAGGGCTTGGAAACGTTAGCTCTATCTTCAATCTTGTGTGAGTTAGCTAGAGTTGATGAGGCTAAAGAATGTTGCAGATTGTAAGCTTTTTTCTGTTGTCCTTCATCCTCTGATGGAGTATAAGCCCTCAACCAGCTTACACTGAGCCATATTATCTTGTCTGATCTCATACTGCTGTTTTCCTGTCATCTCCATTGTATTCCCTTGTCCCTAAACCTCTGTCTCTAATTCTGTTATCCGTGTGTTTTTCTAACTCCTTGAGTACTAGGTAGGTGTGAGATTATATTGTTTCATGCTAAGAAGTTGTTACTTTAAGTAATGTGAGTCCTGGTGGTGCAGCAGCTAAATGCTGACCTCCGACCAAAGGTTTTGGGTTCAGATCTGCATGGAGTCAATTTCTTTCTTTTATAAGAGATCTTGGCTCCCAGCTTGACCCCCCTTAACATTGGCACCAGATACAATGTTGGGAAGTAAAGGTGACCGGTGTGATGTTGACCACAACACCTGCAGAGGGCTAGATGTTATGTGAAAACATGCCTCTAACATCATATGCCTGGAGGCGGCACTGGCGTAAACTGTGTCTGTTTTGCTTTTTGTTGTTTTTAGTATATGTATGTGTGTTTTTTTCCCCCCAAACTTGTTAACTTAAAATAAAAAATGTTTGTGTCTGAGCAGTTAAAATATTGCACACCCTAAGAGAGAAGAAGTTTAAATAACAATGTTAACTGAGTATGTGTCACAGCTGGATGGGTTACAATGAATTTTGAAAAATTTATGTCATGTCCATTGAAGCCGACAAACACATGGCTGTTGCATGGTACTGTATGTGTTAATCTTAATGTTTCTTTTCTTTGGCTGTGTGTTCTACTGCAAGGATATTAGTTACACTGTTATTAGGTTATCTGTGAGTGTGTGTGTGTATGTCCTATCTGGCACTGGTGTTTTTCCTCAGGTCTTGGTTCGCTCTAATTATTTTTTTGCTGCCCTTAAGCTCCAGATTAGTGATTCTCCCATACTGTTTCCTTCTGTTCTGCACTATTAATAATGGTTTTATAATTTTTACTGAGAGAAACTGCATGATCACTTTGTAGCTGTAGATGTCTCAAATAGTTTCAAAGATAAGCATGTAGCTGTAGATGTCTCAAATAGTTTCAAAGATGAGCATGTAGCTGTAGATGTCTCAAATAGTTTCAAAGATGAGCATGTAGCTGTAGATGTCTCAAATAGTTTCAAAGATGAGCATGTAGCTGTAGATGTCTGAGACAGATAGTTTCAGAGATGAGCATGTAGCTGTAGAAGTCTCAGACAGATAGTTTCAAAGATGAGCATGTAGCTGTAGAAGTCTCAGACAGATAGTTTCAAAGATGAGCATGTAGCTGTAGAAGTCTCAGACAGATAGTTTCAAAGATGAGCATATAGCTGTAGAAGTCTCAGACAGATAGTTTCAGAGATGAGCATGTAGCTGTAGAAGTCTCAGACAGATAGTTTCAAAGATATGCATGTAGCTGTAGAAGTCTGAGACAGATAGTTTCAAAGATGAGCATGTAGCTGTAGATGTCTGAGACAGATAGTTTCAAAGATAAGCATGTAGCTGTAGAAGTCTCAGACAGATAGTTTCAAAGATGAGCATGTAGCTGTAGATGTCTCAGACAGATAGTTTCAAAGATATGCATGTAGCTGTAGAAGTCTCAGACAGATAGTTTCAAAGATGAGCATGTAGCTGTAGATGTCTCAGGCAGATAGTTTCAAAGATGAGCATGTAGCTGTAGATGTCTCAGACAGATAGTTTCAAAGATGAGCATGTAGCTGTAGAAGTCTCAGACAGATAGTTTCAAAGATGAGCATATAGCTGTAGAAGTCTCAGACAGATAGTTTCAGAGATGAGCATGTAGCTGTAGAAGTCTCAGACAGATAGTTTCAAAGATATGCATGTAGCTGTAGAAGTCTGAGACAGATAGTTTCAAAGATGAGCATGTAGCTGTAGATGTCTGAGACAGATAGTTTCAAAGATAAGCATGTAGCTGTAGAAGTCTCAGACAGATAGTTTCAAAGATGAGCATGTAGCTGTAGATGTCTCAGACAGATAGTTTCAAAGATATGCATGTAGCTGTAGAAGTCTTAGACAGATAGTTTCAAAGATGAGCATGTAGCTGTAGATGTCTCAGACAGATAGTTTCAAAGATGAGCATGTAGCTGTAGATGTCTCAGATAGTTTCAGAGATGAGCATTTAGCTGTAGATGTCTCAGGCAGATAGTTTCAAATATGAGCATCTAGCTGTAGATGTCTTAGACAGATAGCTTCAAAGATGAGCATGTAGCTGTAGATGTCTCAGATAGTTTCAGAGATGAGCATGTAGCTGTAGATGTCTCTGACAGATAGTTTCAAAGATGAGCATGTAGCTGTAGATGTCTCAGATAGTTTCAAAGATGAGCATGTAGCTGTCGATGTCTTAGATAGTTTCAAAGATGAGCATCTAGCTGTAGATGTCTCAGATAGTTTCAAAGATGAGCATGTAGCTGTAGATGTCTTAGATAGTTTCAAAGATGAGCATCTAGCTGTAGATGTCACAGACAAATAGCTTCAAAGATGAGCAGTAAAAGATGAGATTGAGAACATTGTTGTGAATTGTCCAAAATAAATGTGTTATTCCAGCTGACTGCTGTTTTACAGATATATTGAACCTTGTTTTTAAAGGATATTATTTTGGATATTATAACTCTATACCTCAGTGAATGTCACAAAATGTCAACATTTAAAGCTCATCTTGTATGTGCACAAGTCATTTATGTGTTTTTATAAAAACAGGTTAGCATTTAAGCCAGGAATTTTGTTCCTAAACCTTTAATGAAAACTTGTTAGCCTGGACTGTCAGAGATTGTCATCAGATATATGTTGGACGGTACATTGGGGGGGGGGGGGGGGGGGGGGGGGGGGGGGGGGGGGGGGGGGGGGGGGGGGGGGGGGGGGGGGGGGGAGTGTATCTTTCGCACATCCAGCCAAGCCTGGCCAGCATTAGAGAGAGGGCTTTTCAAGCTGTGTGTTCTGCCAGGACATGTTACATTTCTCACCTCAACTGTCACTTGTGATTAGCAGTGGCATTCCCAAACTTCTCTTACTTAGTGCAATCCCTATTTATTTTTATTATTATTTTTTTAAATGCCAACCAGTTCTAAGTTAATTTTTTTATCCTGTGTCTGTTCTATAGCCATCAAACCATTATCTTTTACTTATTTCCTCCAGTATATCCTTTTAGGCAAGCATTTATTTCAGAGTTTGTGTTTTATTATGTAGTATCCATGTTTTCAATTAGCTAGTGTGACATTGCTCCTGTCGTGATAATAGCAGCATTAATTGGGTTATTATGAGCTGAGTAGTTTTAATTGCATCGATTGTTTTCAATATGGCTAAAGCACCTGTCTTTGCTTCCTTATGATGTACCTGTGTATTTCTCAGAACTGTTGCTGCTACAGGTGAATTCATGTATCTTTTAATTGCTGCTGCATAACTGTTTGGTTGTAAATGTATGCAGTTATGTTTTTATTTTTCAGTATTGTAGATTTTCAGATTAACCACACTAATAGAACATAGAGCTTTTTGGCAGATTAACTTTTTTTTAAATATTCTGTTTTAACAGTTTTCTGAATTGTATAATTTTTAATTTTATTACAGTTGTTTTGATTCAGTGTAGTTTGTTACATAATTATCTAGTGCTTCCCTTTGCATGTTACTTTAATTACATTGTGATATTTTATGTTTTAAAGTGAACACAATTGTATACAGGTCACAGTATCGTACTTATAGAAAATTTTCATGTAACCTTCCTTGTCCAATTCTGTTGTTACAGAAGATCTGTTTTTTTTTTTATGGCAGTGTGTCTAGAGGAGTAGTGGTATACTAGCTAGCTAGTCTTTAAAAAAAATGCGTTTAAAAAAATAATTGCAGATGATAAGAAAGGAATTGAGTTTTAAAATTTGCTGAGAAAACATAAAGTATATGTTAGCTTTACAAAACTCCTTACAGTTAAAGAAACAGCGGATGTTGCGACAGTTAGCCTTCATCAGCATAACAACAACAACAAATAAAACACAAAACACACACAAATAAACTGTGCGACACTTACTTGGATCGCTGTGGGTAGTATAAAGAACAGAATAGAAGCATGAATTGCTTTCAAAGAGGAGCAAAAAACGGAAACCTGATCAGTGGAAGTAAAGAGCTTAAGATTTACTGGCTAGTGGGCCAGCTTACCAGAACTGTGGTCTGTGTTCAGTCCTTAGCTGTGTCAGAGTTAGCATTTCTGAGTAGCACAGCTTCTGGATCAACCCAACCATAAAACATGGGTCTTCTTCTCAAAGTCCATGCCATGTAGCTTTGGTAGTCTTGTCTATCCACAGCCTTCTGTCTCATGTACTTTCAGTCAACTCTGACACAGATGATCTTCTATTCCATGTCAGAATCTCCAGCAGCTGTTCTCTGGGTCCTCGTCTGCCTCTCTATCCCTCCAAGCTTTCCTGCTGTCACAATGTACTCCAGTGTTCTCCTTCTCATCACACTACCAAAAAATTTAGATTTTCTCTTTCTGCTTTCTGATGAGGGCAATCAGTTCTCTTCATAAGTCAGTTTCTTTGAAGACATCTTCATTACTCTTTTTATCTGTCCAGGATATTCTCATTATTGGTCTGTAAAAGCCACATCTTCCCAGCTTCATTAATTTACCAACTGTC